TAATATCCTCCAGTTTATTATGAATATTGACACCAAAAAGAATAAACTTCACAAGATCAGGTAAATTTTGGCACCAAATTTAATGAAAAATCTTGGTTTTCAGGCTGGGCGTGGTAGGCTCACACCTGTAATCCCAGAACTTTGGGAGGCTGAGGCGGGTGGATAACAGGGTTGGGAGTGCGAGACCAGCCTGGCTAACATGGTGAAACCCTGCCTCTACTAAAAATACAAAAATTAGCCAGGTGTGGTGGCACATGCCTGTAATCCCAGCTACTCGGGGGGCTGAGGCAGGAGAATTGCTTGAATCTGGGAGGTGGAGGTTGTAGTGAGCCGAGATCATGCTACTGCACTCCAGCCTGGGCAACAGGGTGAGGCTCTGTTGCAAAAAAAAAAAAAAAAAAAAAAAAGCAAATAAACAAATAAACTCACCTAAAACTTTAGACACAGAGATAATTGCCCACACATTTGGATTATAACTTTTCTCTCTCTTTATATTTTAAATATATATTTTATATATTTTAAAATAATATATAATTATTTTATATAATTTCATATAAAATGTCACACTGTACGTAGTTTTCCAGCCTCTGTTTTTCACTTTTCATCTTTTTATATAATCAAAGAGTCTTCTACAGCCTTTTCTTCAAAAATCAAGGTAGTTTTACTTTGGTTGTAAAAGTGATAATAGGAAAAAACAAACATATATTTGCTTATATGTGCATAAAGTCTCTAACAGGATACACTAGTTGCTGGTCACACTGTTTACCTCTGGAGGGAGCCAGATGGAAGGCAGACAGGGACGAGAGAAGGAATTTTTATTGTATAATCTTTTGGACTCTTGATTATTACTTTGTGAATGTATTCTCTATTTCAAAACTAAAATTTGAAAAAATTGATACATCTTCACTGCAAAAGAAATCAAGAAATATAGAATATAGAAATCAAGAAATCAAGAATATAGAAAGGAACAAAGAAGAAAATAAATTCATTTTTAAACTCAATACCCAGGTACAACACTGTTAATATTTTTGCCATATTTCTTCCAAGCCTTTATCTATGAATGTACAGACATGTGTATGGAGGTATTTTTACCAAAACAGGATGATGCTGTACGATGGTTTTTGTTTCCTGTGTTTTTCATGTAGGGTGAATCACAGACAGCTTCCATGCAGCCTCATTTTAAACATCTGCATTGTTATTGCATGAAATTAGCCAATTACCAAAAAATTAATCCAGGGGAACTGAGTCCAGCATCTGAACACGCAGTGCCAGGTAACAACTACCCCCTGATCCAAAGCTGGGATTTTCTTTTATTTTCTTTTTCTCTTTTTTTTTTTTTTGAGACAGAGTCTCGCTCTGTGGCCCAAGCTGGAGTGCAGTGGTGCGATCTCAGCTCACTGCAACCTCTGCTTCCCAGGTTCAAGCAATTCTCCTGCCTCAGCCTCCTGAGTAGCTGGGATTACAGGTGTGCACCACCACACCAGGCTAATTTTTGTATTTTTAGCAGAGATGGGGTTTCACCATGTTGGTCTGGCTGATCTCAAACTCCTGACCTCAAGTGATCCGCCTGCTTCGGCCCCCCAAAGCAGTGGAATTCCAGGTGTGGGTCATCGCACCAGCCACAGTCTACATTTCTAATGATAAAGCTGCTCTTTAATAATTATGTTTTCAGAAGGCCATTTGGAAATAGTTTTTTTCTCACTGTTGGATTATAAAAACACCAAGTGACCCGAGTTCTACACTTTTTTGTGCCAAAATGAAGAACATTAATAATAAGCATCCATTTCCCCTTAAGTATATATATTTAAATCATAAATATGTAAGTAAATGTATACATTTATTTAAATTTTAAATATGCAATTGGCCAGGTTCCAAGGGCTTATCCACCTTCCTGGGAAAAAAGTCAACTGTCTTTGGAAAATTCCTTGACATGATTTTAGAGGGGCAGCCTCTAGAATGAAGTGTTCAATGAATGTTCGAGGAATGAATGAATTTTAGCAGCCTATATCTTAGGTGCTGAGAGTATCTGATTAGGGCATATCGGACTGAAAAAAGTCCTCTACAAACACTAGCATTTACTAATCTGTTTTCTACTTAAAATGTGTAATTTGACATCAAGCACACATACAGTTTATGGAAACAATTTTATTGGTAACAGAACCCTACTAACTCATCAGAGCCCTACTATTTTCTCACGTGTACTTTCCTTCTCCTGGCAGCCTGTCCCCCTTCCTTGGAACCCCCTCCCAACTCATTCCCGTGGACTTTCTGACTTGCTGCCTCTCTCCCTTCTGGGAAAAAGTGTCAGCTGATGCACTAATAATCCAGCACATGCTAAGACTGTCCCTGAGACAGCTGTCTACTACCCCTAGGCCCTTGGGCAGGGGATCTCCTTGGAGCCAGAAAGTTAATAACTGGTCTTTAAGATACAAACAATGTCATGGTCTATGACTTTGTGACATGATACAATGGAAAGTGCTTTGAGTCAGGCAGACCCAGATTCATATCTCAGCTCTTCTTAATATCTATGTAACTTTGGACAAAGTACTGCATGTCTCTAGCCCTCAACTTCCTCATCTGTGAAACGGAAATAACAACACAGGGAATACTGGGAATAACAAATGAGAATAAATGTATTCAGCCCTCTAGCTTCCTCTCCCACTACCTCTTTGTCTTTCCAGAGTTGAAAGACCCATAACAAGGAATCAAAGGAGAGCAAAACAAGACCAAAGGGTTAGAGGATAAGATCCAAGAATGGATGAAGGGATGGTAAACGTTTATTTTTATTTATTTATTTTATTTTGAGACGGAGTCTCTCTCTGTCGCTCAGGCTGGAGTGCTGTGGCATGATCTCAGCTCACTGCAACCTCCGCCTCCCGGGTTCACGTGATTCTCCTGCCGCAGCCTCCTGAGTAACTGGGACTACAGGTGCCCGCCACCACACCCAGCTAATTTTTGTATTTTTAGTAGAGACGAGGTTTCACCATGTTGGCCAGGATGGTCTCGAACTCCTGACCTTGTGATCTGCCTGCCTCAGCCTCCCAAGGTGCTGGAATTACAGGCATGAGCCAACTCATCTGGCAGAACGGTAAATGTTTAATATGGAAAGGGAATATTTAGTCTGGACAGAGAGGACAATAAATAATTATGGTTACCATTTGTCAGCACCTTTCCTGGCATTTATTTATTTAGACGGAGTTTCACTCTTGTTGCCCAAGCTGGAGTGCAATGGTGCAATCTCGGCTCACTGCAACCTCCGCCTCCTAGGTTCAAGCGATTCTCCCGCCTCAGGCTTCCGGGTAGCTGGGATTACAGGCGGGCACCACCAGGCCCGGCTAATTTTTGTATTTTTAGTAGAGATGGGGTTTTTCCATGTTGGTCAGGCTGGTCTCAAACTCCTGACCTCAGGTGATCCTCCTGCCTCGGCCTCCCAAAGTGCTAGGAGCCACAGCACCTGGCCTTTCCTAGCATTTAAAATAGCTATGTCCAGTCTTCAGAACAGCCCTGTGGTGAGGTATGATCATAAGCCCCATGTTATAAAGTGAAGAGGAAACAGATTTTATAACTTGCCCAAGATCATCCAGCTAAATGGAGAAGTGGAAATTCAAAGTCCGGTCTGACTGTTTGTACTAGCTTAAGAACAGACTCTCAGCTGGATGCAGTGGCTCATACCTGTAATCTCAACACTTGAGGAGGCTGAGGCAGATGGATCACTTGAGCCCAGGAGACTACACAAACACACAAAAAATTAGCCAGGTGTGGTGGTGCATGCCTGCAGTCCAGCTACTCAGGAGGCTAAGGAGGGAGGATTGATTGAGCCCTGGTGATTGAGGCTGCAGTTAGCCATGATCACACCAAGAGAGGGAACAAGGAAGGTGGCTGTCAGCCACTGGTATCAGAGACAAGCAGAGGCCAGAGAAGACAAAAGCAAAATCTTTCTTTGGCTGGGACTTGTCAGAAAGGGAATCTCCAGGCCTCATGTGCCTTATGTGTGGGCATCTCTGAAGGCAGAAAGGACTCCATTTTCCCTGGATGAAAATGGGCCTGTGAGCACGAGGCTGAGGTCTGACTCCTGGGGGCCACACAGGCAGGCCTGAGCACCTTGCCCCTCCTCATTGAAGGGGGCTTAATGTCTGGGGCACAGTTGACTCCATCCCTCTTTTTCTTGTATGTGTTTTTTTTCAAGACAAGGTGTCTCACTCTGTCACACAGGCTGGAGTGCAGTGGCACAGTCTCAGCTCGCCGCAAACTCTGCCTGCCAGCTTCAAGTGATTCTCCCACCTCACCCTCCTGTGTAGCTGGGACTACAGGCACGCGCGTACAGGCTTGTCTCCAACTCCTGACCTCAAGTGATCCGCCTGCCTCGTTTTTCCTGTATGTTCTAATGTTATTTCAGGGATCTCCTTTGCCTCACTCTGGCCATTCCAAAACATATATATATATGTTTCATTTATATAAATCCAAATAAAAATATTAAAATTGCAAGTGAGATATTTTTGGCCTTAATCTTTGAATTTCAATGTTTTCTTATCTGTAGAGCAGATGTGCTAACTCCTATAATTCTGGGCAATGCCCATGTGATTCTTGGCCGCTTCAAGCCATCTCAGGTCTGATTTTCACACAAGTTCAGCAGCATTGGGCTAGAAGGGCACCGCCCTCCCACTCTGCTGCCACTTTGAATAGAAGTCCAAGCTTTCGCTTGCTTGCCCTGACTTTGATTCTTCACATTGCTGAGGAGCAGTGACTGAAGCTTAATCTCATTGTCTACAGTCTGTCTCCTCTATGGAGCTGCACTATTCTTTCCTATCTCAATTATTTCTGATGTAACCAAAACACTCTCTCTCCCCATTGCCTTTTTTCTTTTGTGAAGACTTGGAAAGGGTCAGTTTCAGAGGCTTGAGCCCTGTGTTCTGACTTTCACAGACAGAGGCCTGCCACTCTTACATTTACAGGTCATCATTCTGAGCAATAAACTTTTTTTGAAGAGTAGTCCTACAAGCTCACTAAAAAGTTGCATTTGTATTTAACTTAAATAGAGAACCTTATGTGTAGTCCATGTTTCTGGACTCTATGCCTGATTTTGAATCACTGGACTTAAATTATTTGACTTACAACACTGATACCTCTTCTAAGTGAACCTAAACAAAGAATACCAGCCCTACATCCCACTCCCCACAAGATAACTGGGAAAGACACAAAGCCACGCTGAGAAAGGGCCATGGTTTGATATTGTCCAGTGAGTGTCTCTTGGCCTCAGAATGCTGCCACTTCCTGCAGTTCCAGCCCTCGGCTGTGGTCCACTCTGAGTAAGTGAATTCCTCTGTTAAAACTTGCACACAATAAGGAGATGGCGTCACCAACAGCCAGAGAAGTCAAGGGTCCTGATCCATCCAGAGACAAGGTGAAAAGGCAGGCTGGGGGGAAAAGGGGAACCAGCAGATTAGGCCAAGAGTGTAGCATCATGAAACGTGATGTCTTCATGAGAAATGCAAGGAAATAAAGCATTTGCTGTACATATCTAACCAGTATGAGAGAGGCCCCACTTCTTCAGAGGAAAGCATATCAGGGAGGTCAGAACTTGGGCCAACCCCACGACATCAATGGTAGAGAATGGCACATGGGCCAAACAGGATGCATACCATCACCAAGAAGTATCAGGGTCTCACCAGCTAAAGACATGTTACAAAGCTGCCCTCAGTCACCTGCCCAGAGAATAAAGCAGGGCCCAGGCAGGGAAAAACATACAAGGATACTGATCTTTAGCTGCTGGCTTCCTGGGGTCTTGATGCCTTGGAGATGAAGGATAATGGGGGAGCCTGAAAGGCATTCTTTAGGGGTTTCAGCTGACCCATCTCCCTCCATCTGCATCTTAGAGGCCACTCTTCTGAAATCTACAGGCTCATACCTGGTGGGCAGGGAATCTGTGCCACTTGGTCAGGTCAACACTTTCAGACCTCGTTCTCCCTGGTAAGGTTTATGATCATTAAGTCTAAAACATCTGCTCTTTTTCCTCAAGCAACTGTTACACCTGGGTGGCTGGAGAAGCCGCTCCAGGTGACGGTACAGCAGGCTGTCCTTACTATGGAAGTTTGGCTTGTGGCCACAGCTATTTGCAGAGTGCCCACAAGACACGGTCCCGCCTCTATTCTCTGAGGGAACTACCCTGTCTCCCCTGAGAGGAGCTGAGTTCTAGAAGACTGCTGTAGGAGAGATTTGGTTTAAAGTTCTTTAAGTCAATGCTATTTCTGTCTGGCAGAACCCTGTGTCCAGGACAGAACAGATGGAGGCAGTGGCGTGCTGGTAAACCAGCTTTCTGGAGGAAAAAACACTACCACCACCGATTCATAGCACTTGTCAATTTTCATGGTGTAAATACCTCCACCATGATCAGATTTCAGGCCACCAAAGGTTTAAAAACCAGTTCACAAAAATCCTGAATATTTAACAATTGGCCAGCAGGGGCTGGCTCCAGCAGATCCAGGAATCTGGGGACCTGGGTTGCATAAGACATCCTTTTTCTCTGATGCTTTGAAATGTTATGAGCTTACCGTGTTCTTAAACTTCAGCTACAGAATCAAAACAGGGCAGAGACTTTCTGAAACTATCCTGACTCCCCCTTAACCTCACCAAAAGCTGAGGGTTTCATTTTAGTCCTCGAAAGAAGAATTCAAAAGTGGCAATTCTTGTTCTCTTTTCCAGGTATTTTAAGTGTCACAAATTAGAATCTGATGAAGAACTTCAGGTAGAAAGAATGTAAGAGCCAAATCTATGTGAGTTCTCAGAAATGAGTCTATGCAACATGGTACCAGGGGATACATGGGGATAGCATCTTGACATCACCTCTTAACCACAGGACTAGACAGTGGCAGAAGATGGGTGGTTTTGTAATGCTGAGCAATGGGAAGAGGGAGTTTTAAAGAAGGTTTTAGGACTTCATGTGTCTTTCGAGGAGAACTGACAGCAGGCTCCTTACCTCCAGTATCTTGGTTCCAAATCTTCACCTTGCAATCATGTGATGAGGTAGCAATTAAAGGCATCAAGGCCAATGCTCTTGGTAGAAAGACGCAGGATGCAACAGTCTGGAAATGCCCCTTATACTCACATATTCTGTTTCGAGTCTGTCTTAGGTCCCACAACTGCAAAGTAATGACATGTACCAGCTCATACTTACTAGCCTAGCTTCGTCCACCAATATCCATCACCCCCGCTCCCATGATGTACCTATTCCCTCCACTTACCTGCTCACATATCTTCATCCATCCACAGACCCAACAACCCCCATCTAGTGATTATTTTAAGCCTCAACTATGTCTCAAACAACCCTGGTTAAGAATGTGTCATAAGTTTTTGCCTTTTTAATGGTTAGGGAAGTAAAAGCTCCTAGTCCTACAGCATGATGGTGTTCCATCATGGGGAACCCGAAACAACAGTATGGGGTTGTTTGCTTTCATGGCAACTCAAGAGCTGCCTTATTTCAACCTCTTGGCATCTGTGGGTCCTGTGGGGACCCCATGGTTAGAAGTACCTCATAGGTATAAGTACATATAGATGTAGACATTCTGATTTAATGCCTAGATGCTGAACCTTGATGTGTGAAGACTAGTGTCTACAAGAGGGAAGTGCCAGTCAGTGCTGCCAGTCCCACTCTCATAGATACAGATCAGATCACAGCTGGAGAATAATGTTCAGAGAGGACAGCAAATTGAATTATGTCCAAAAAGATAATGAAGTTATTGGACAGCATGTTATCCAGGGAATAGCTGTAGGAGCTGGAAATGTTTCACTTAGAAAAGAGATGCTACATTCAAAGGCTGCAACACCCCAATCTACCATTTACTAGGGATATGGTCTTGTGCAAGAAATGTCAACTTGCCATGCCTCTATTTCCTTGTCTGTGAAATGGGAATTATAATAGTACCTAACTCATGGGGTTGTTTTTAAGGATTAAATGAGATATTACATGTAATGTGCTCAGCCCAGTGCCCAGCACACAAGAAATGTTCGATAAAATAGGAGGCATAATTGTTCTATTTGAATACTAGATAACCCTTTTAATTGATATTCTACAATTATGAATCTAAGGTGCTTTGGAGGAGCCTAGGCAATCTATTCCAAAATTAACTGCAAGGAAGGTATATGTGTAAGGGATGGAGTAGGCCCTGGACCAACACTAGAGCTCCAAATTTCCTAAAAAGCTTGAGCTTCTTTTACTGTGGCCATGCCTATAATGGGAATAAATCTCGTTCTTCAAACAGTCCCTCCCCTCTCCAAGCTCTGCTGCGAGTAGAGACATCAGCAGACTAGTTCTGTGTTTAGCTCTTCCCCATCTTGACTCTCATCCCATTCCTCTTTCCTACTACCAATTCAGAGAGCCCTAAGTTGATGAATGTTTCTTTTCTTCTCTTTCTTTATTTTTTTGAGATGGGGTCTCCCTTGTTGCCCAGGCTGGCCTCAAACTCCTGGGCTCAGTTGATCCTCCCACCTCAGCCTCTGAATAGCTTGGATCACAGGCACACGCCACCATGCCCAGCTAACTTTTTATTTTTATATCGAGACAGGGTCTTGCTCTGTTGCCCAAGCTAGTCTCAAACTCCTGGGCTCAAGTAATCCTCCTGCCTCGGCCTCCCCTATGAATGTTTCTTAAATGAAGCAACTGGAATGCAAAGAATCACTCACAGTATGATTTTGAAAGAGGCCTGAGCCATTAGCAGAGCTCGCCTGTGTAGAACAGCTACAGGCATGAGGCCAGAGTAAGTGATCTGTTCATCAGCAACCAGATACCTGGACCTCACACAGTCTCCTACCGTGGCTTCACAGCCTTCTCCTCCAAAGCCATTGCTGCAGGAGACACACTTGTGTCCATCCACACTGACTTCACAGTAGGTCTGAATGTACTGCTTTGCAGGAAACATATGAGCTACCTGCAGCCCCCGACTGTCCCATAATCTGAAAGAGATTAGGGCAGGAAATTAGCTTGTAGTAAATGTGGCTGAAATATACCCATATTGTCCCACTACCATAAAAGTCTTGGCTCTTTGCTGTGTAGGCCAGCCAGATTGGAATGGCATGATTTACCTAAAAACAGCAGCATGAACCAGATCAATCTCTGAGACTCTAAAGCTGGCAGGAAGTAACCAAATTGAATGACATCTGAGTTCTTTCTATTTTGAGATCAGTTAATAGAAATTGAGACCAGGCATCTTAATTGTACAAGTTAATTTGTTAATTTGGTCCTTTGAGGCACTGCTTTCCATGGACAAAAGGATATTTCTGTGCCTGTGACTTAAATTTTTAAAAAGATACTTATTACGATACGGAAGATCAGTCATCATTCAGAATCAGTTACAGAAGATTTACATACAGGTCATGGCCAACCTTGGCTATGGAGTCCACTGGGGAGTATTTTGTTTTGCTCCTTATTTTATTTTTACCTCTTTACCCCATTCCTATCATTTTCTAAGGAGAATCTCTTCTGAGATCCAAAGTTTCTAGTTATGCTCTCCGGTCTAAGAACTATTGACTTTACTGACTCCCCTGATGCTGATTTCGACCCTGCTTCCCCAGGGAGGGCTTCAGCTGAAGGCTGGGTGACTGAGAACACCAGGAGCCATGCAGGAGTAGCAAGGAGAGCCAGGCAGCCCGACAGGGTGGGACAAGCAAATGACTGATTCTGGGGTTAATCTGAACACATTCACATAGCAGGAGCTGGCTGAATCAGATGCTTTGAAACCATCTAGAACAGGGGCTTTTACCAGGCCTGATCTCATGGTATACAGTCCCTCCCTACCTTAATGATCCATGGGGCCAGAGCAGAGAGGCCCCACCACCAGTGAAGGGGAGAGGAACAGAAGGCTCTGGGAAGGGCAGAGCAATGTGGAGAAGCAGAGTGGGAATGGAGCCATGTACACATGGGAGCCACAAACCTCACAAGAAACACTTTCACTGCTGCTCAGTAAGCCCACCTGAGGGTTTTATCTTCAGAGGTCTGTAGTATGTATGGTTCTCTGGGGACCCAGCACAGGTGAGTGACCTAGAAAAAGCAAAATGTTCAGAACTTCTCACACCAAGTCATTCCTCTGCTGTAATTCCTGTCAAATGTGCTAACTAGCATCACTGTGCCTCTTCTCAAGGATTCTGAACTAGCAAATTCATTTACAGGCATCTTACATTTTGCAGATACCTATCAGTCATGCTACCTGCATCTCCCAGGTTATCAGCAGCAAGGGAACAGCTGGGCCAGTTGTGAGCACCAAAATACATGCAGGCACCCTTAGAGTGCCTGAAACCCCAGCTGTGTGGCAGATAGAACAGCCCCTGTTGTAAGGCGGGTTCACTGAAATTCTAGCCCAACACCTCATGGGGATCAGGAAGCGCATTCATGTTTCTCTTTATCCCTGCAGGCTCCTGCTTGGACAGGCATAAAACAGTTTCCAAAATAACCCAAAATAACAGGATTTTCTTTTTTTCCAGTAAACTCCACCAATATAGAGGGCATGGGGCAAGCACATCTGACCATTGGCAGTCATCTTCAAAATTAGAAAAGATGACTGGGACTGAAATTTGACGACCACTAAAAGAACATCTACTATAGGTCAGGTACAACGACAGGTATTTCACATCTAGTATTTCAATTCACCCTCTGAAGAACCTTAGCAGGTGATAGAATTCTCCCCGTTTTATAAATGAAGACATAGACACTCTAAGAGCTTAAGTAACTTCCTTGAGATAACATAGCTGGTAAGTAATAGATCCATGATTTGAACCTGGGTATGACTGACTCCAAAGGCTCTGCAGTTTATACCAGTCTGCTACTAGAAAACAACTGGTCCTTCAAAAGCAATGCAAATTCTACATAAAGCAAAAGGTAATGTTTATTTCTCCACATGATGTTACATGTATGAACATAAAATAAGCATAAGCTGTGAGCTCCTGGAGGACAGGAACTCTGTCCTTGGTCACTAACCCTGTTCCTAGCACAGTGTCTGGCCCACAGAAGAAAAGTAATAGTGAAATAATGAAGACCATTTTTAATTCCCATATGAGTGAGTAAAATCATTGTCTGGAGCAGAAGACTCAAGGGACCATCTAATCTAATAACCCCGAGAGGCCAGGGTCTCACAGCAGGTTAGGGGACAGCAATTGGGACCCAGGCTCTAATTTCTGCTCATGGGCCTCCTGATTTCTCTCCTGAGCCTTTCCTTCACCCCATGCTCCTTTCTGCTGCCCTGTTCTGTACCAAGTTCGAGTTCATACCACGTTTCTGGAGACAGATGCTCTTTCCACACTCTGTCCTGTCACCACATCCCACAGAAGCAGGGTGTTGTCCCGAGAGCCAGTGCACAGCTGTGATGAGTCTTTGGAAACAATGGTGAGAAGACAGCCTGTGAGATGGGACCTGAACAGGGTTTTTCAGAAAGTATCAAGGTGTTGGGAAGAGGTTCACTTTGTTTTACCTGGACTCACAGCCAATCCGGTGACCACCATGGCATGGCCACACAATTGCTGCCTTGGTTGTGAGGAACCGTGCAAGTCCCACATCATGACCATCCTGTCACGAGAGGCACTGAAGAACTGGTTGGAATTGGGAATACAGGTTACCTGCTCAGGGAAAAAACAGTAACACTGAAATAGCTCTGGTGTGCTAGTTGGACTGGACTTCAAATTGGGGGAAAAAGATGAGTCTGCATAACTCCCTCCCCACACACTTCTTTTTTTTTTTTTTTTTTTTTTGAGATGGAGTCTCACTGTCACCCAGGTTGGAGTGCAGTGGCGCGATCTTGGCTCACTGAAGCCTCCACCTCCCGGGTTCAAGTGATTCTCCTGCCTCAGCCTCCCGGGTGGCTGGGATTACAGGCGACAGCCACCACACCCAGCTAATTTTAATATTTTTAGTAGAGACAGGGTTTCACCACCTTGGCCAGGCTGGTCTCCAATTCCTGATCTCAGGTGAACCGCCCACCTCGGCCTCCCAAAGTGCGGGGATTACAGGCGTGAGCCACCACGCCTAGCCCCCACACACACTTCTCAAGAGTAATACCTAAGCTTGAAATCTATGAATGCAAAGCATGGGCCAGTCTGAATTTCCACCTTTTTCAATGTTGTGCTACCTTTTCCTTTATGTAGCAGATTTCCTCCTGTCCTTCAGGGTAAGGTTAAAAATCTCACCTCCTCAGATCACGTTACCTTGGTGAGGATGTTTCCCTTCTTGGGCTTCCTATAGAACTTCCTCCTGTGGGATTCCTTTTACACCTGATCATCACTGCACCCCAAAAATGGATACTGTACTGTTATGACAGGTGATTCTGTTGTACTTATGATGAATTTGAAGTAAATCGCTGTTCCATTTTATGCTTTTTACCTTGAATACAACTTTGCTTGATATCATCATCCCAACTCCTGCTCTGTTTGTTTACATTTGCCTGATATATCTTTGCTGACCTGTTCTTCCTGTTCTGATCTCTTCCATCGTGTTCTTTTTTGTGTGGTTTTTTTTTTTTTTTTTTGGAACTGTGGTAAATATACATAAAACTTACAATTTTAACCATTTTTAAATGTACAACTCAGTGGCAACAAGTACATTCGTTGTTGTATAACCATCACCACTATCATCTCTAGAACTTTTCCATCATCCCAAACTGAAACTCTACAACCTTTAAACAATTACTGTCCATTTTCCTCTCCCCGCAGCTGTTGGCACCTGCAATTATTCTACTTCTGTCTCTATGGACTTGACTATTCTAGGTACCTCATATAAGTGGAATCATACCATATTTGTCCTTTTGTGTCTGGCTCTTACTTAGCATAATGTTTTCAGGGTTCAGCCATGTTGTAACATGTATCAGAAATTCATTCCTTTTTTTTTGAGACAGGGTCTTGCTCTGTCACCCAGGCTGGAGTGCAGTGACCTGGTCTCAGTTCACTGCAACCTTCCCTTCCTGAGTTCAAGCAATCCACTTGCCTCAGCCTCCTGAATAGCTGGGACTATAAGTGTGTGCCACCACACCCGACTAATTTTTGTATTTTCTGTAGAGATGGGGTTTTGCCATGTTGCTCAGGCTGGCCTCGAACTCCCAGGCTCAAGTGACCTATCTGCCTGGGCCTCCCACAATGCTGGGTTTACAAGCATAAGCCACTGTGCCTGGCCTATTTCATTCCTTTTTAAGGGTGAAAAATAGCCCACTGTATGTATATTACCACATTTTGTTTATCCATGAATCTGTCAAAGGACATTTGGGTTGTTTCCAGCTTTTGGCTATTCTAAACAATGTTGCTATATATATATGTGTGTGTGTGTGTGTGTGTGTGTGCGCGCATGTACAAATATCTGTTCTATGTTTACTATTTCACTTTAAATTTTAAAGGTGCTTTGCATTAGATATGTCTTATTTATTTATTTATTTATTTATTTATTTATTGAGACACAGTCTCACTCTGTCGCCCAGGCTGGAGTGCAATGGTATGATCTCTGCTCACTGCAACCTCTGCCTCCCAGGTTCAAGTGATTCTCCTGTCTCAGCCTCCCGCATAGGTGGGATTACAGGTGTGTGCCACCATGCCTGGCTAATTTTTTTTTTTTTATTTTTAGTAGAGATGGGGTTTTGCCATGTTGGCCAGGCTGGTCTTGAACTCCTGACCTCAAGTGATCCACCTGCCTCGGCCTCCTAAAGTGCTGGGATTACAAACATGAGCCATTGTACCCAGCCTAGATATGTCTCTTTTAAACAATGTATAGGTGGCTTTAGTTTTTAACTCAGTAAGAGTACTGCCTTTCAATAAGTGAATTTATCCCAATTACATTTACTGCTATCATATATATGTTTGATCTTGTTTCTTCCATCTTTTCTGCTGGTTTTGAAAAACATTTTGTCATATTTTCATTGTCTTCTTTTTCTATAAAATTGCATATTTATTTTTAGATTTATTTTTCCCTTTCTTTATATTTTTAATTTAAATAATATGTAACCTGAGTTCTTCTCATGATACCTCTATATATGTATTAATATCTTTAAACTCATATTCTCAATGTATTAATTTCAGAAAGAAAAGAATCTCCTATAAGGAAAAACAATTTTTTCTTTAATTAGCACAATTATATTACTTCTGACTCATTCCCACTTTTGTAGGTACTCTCTTGGATTTTTATCCAGTCTATTATCATATTATTAATATTTTGCATTTTATTCATATAAATTTTTTAAAGAATTAAAACAATTACATTTCTTCTCATAGCCCTAGTTTTGACAATTCTTTAGACATAATTCTGTGTTTAATTGGATTGAAGACTCATACAGTGAATTCAGTTTGGAACTTCTTTAATATTAGTTGGCTTTATTATTCATCATTCATTCGCATTCTTTTTTTTTTCTTTCCCTCTTGTTGCCCAAGCTGGAGTGCAATGGCGCGATCTCAGCTCACCACAACCTCTGCCTCCTGGGTTCAAGCGATTCTCCTGCCTCAGTCTCTTGAGTAGCTGGGATTACAGGCATGCGCCACCACACCCAGCTAATTTTGTATTTTTAGTAGAGATGGGGTTTCTCCATGTTGGTCAGGCTGGTCTTGAACTCCCGACCTCAGGTGATCCGCCCGCCTTGGCCTCCCAAAGTGCTGGGATTACAGGCGTTAGCCACCATGCCTGGCCCATTCACATTCTTTAATAATATACCTTCAACTATATTATTCAGGAATGCTTTGCATATGGCAAGATTTTACGGATTTAAGAATGTCTTTCCATGCCTTTACATATGAACAACACTCTCCGCACATAAATAATCTTTTTCTTTCTTCCTTTCCTTTCTCTTTCTTTCTCTCTTTCTTTCTCTCTCTCTCGTTCTTTTTCTTCTCTTTTTTTTCTTTCTCTCTTCTCTCTTTCTCTCTTTCTCTCTCTCTCTCTTCCCTCCCTCCCTCTTTCTTTCTTTCTGGGTCTCGCTATGTCACCCAGGCTGGGCTGCAATGGCGCAACTATAGCCCACTGCAGCCTCCATCTCCCTGGCTTAAACGATCCTCTTGCCTTAGCCTCCCAAGTAGTTTAGACTATAGGCATGCACCACTATGACCACTGAATGTATTTGTATTTTTATTTGTAGTAGAGACAGGTCTTGCTATGTTGCCCAAGCTGGTCTTGAACTCCTGAGCTCAAGCAATGCTCCCACCTCAGCTTCCCAAAGTGTTGGGATTATAGGAATGAGCTACCCTGCCTGGCCAATTTTTACTTTTTAATAATATTTTTCCTCAAATCTTTTCTCCCCCAGATAATTCTTCTATTGTCTCACTTTTTTTTTTTTTTTTTTTGAGACAAATCTTGCTCTGTCACCAAGGCTGGAGTGCAGTGAAATAATCAACTCAGCCGGCTCACTATGAATCCAACTTGGACCATGGGAACGATCAAGTGGACATCCTGCCGTCCACATACATAGCCAGGCTTCCCTCTGGAGTAGGCTGGGACTATAGAGCGCGGCTGACCCACCACTCCCACACGAATGTCTCAAAAAAAAAAAAAAAAAAAAAAAAAAAAAAAAATAATCCACTCACTAATTCATTCATGACTCAATTCTCACATTTTGGTAGTGGGACTATGGCGGCACCATCACTAATTTTTTTTTTTGTGATGTCATTTGCCTGGGCTGGTCTCAAATTCTTGGGCTCAAGCAATCCTCCTGCCTTGCCTTGCCAAAGTGCCAGAATTACAGGCAGGAGCCACTGCACCTGGCTTGTCTTCTTTTTTCAACTTATTGTTTCATAGAGTATATGTTCTCTTAATTTATAGAGTAAAAAAGCATTAATCAAATTTTATGTTTGCTTCTTGAGTAGTTCTTCCTTCAAAGTGTATTTTCATCTGACATTAGCTTGTTATATGTGTATTTAAAAAAAATCTAGGCATATAGACCTCACTTTGGATCCTTTCTGCTTATTAATCTTTTCATCTTTGAATGAGGGCAAGTCCAATCTTTGGCAGTAAATTCAACAAGGCTTGATACATGCTCAAGTATTACATGCACACACACACACACACACACACATGCATGTGCACACACACACAAGTGCACGCACATACACACACTCACACACAGTCAATTCTCTCTCACTTTCTTTCCTTTCAGTCCAAGGTCTACTATAACTTGATTTGTCATGCTGAATATTGATGGTTGATTATGTCTTGATTTGTCATCCTGAATACTGATGGCTGATTATGTCTTGTCTAAATAGCAGAGACTATAGGTGTGCACCAACATGCCTAGCTAGTTTTTTTTATTTTTTGTCAAGATGGGGTCTTGCTATGTCCCAGGCTGGTTTTAAACTCCCGGCCTCGGGCAAATCACTTGAGGCCAGGGGTTGGAGACCAGCCTGGCCAACCAAGCAAAACCCCACCTCTACTAAAAATATAAAAATTAGCCGGGTGTGGTGGCACACGTCTGTAATCCCAGTTACTTGGGCAGCCAAGGCAGAATAGCAGCTTGAACCCGCGAGATGGAGGTTGCAGTGAGCTGTGATCACACAACAGAGAGAGTGAGACTCTATCTCAAAAAACAAAACAAAACATTCCTGGCCTCAAATGATACTCCTGCCTCAGCCTCCCAAAGCACTGGGATTACAGGGACGAGCCACCATGCCTGGCCAGTCCTTCGGCATTTTAGGGTTACTAGAAGAAAGAGAAGCAAGCTGGCAGCAGCCTCGATTTTGTTACATTGTCTTGTTTTACTGGTAAACAATCTATATCCTTAGTCCTCATCTTTCTAAATAAAGGGCTGTTGGGAGGACCATTCAGGACCAGCTCTTTTAGTGAAATCTGCACTCTGTCAAATATCTGGGGATAAGTGAATAGAGCATGGTGTTCCCTATCAGTCTAGTTCAGAACACAACGTATCTGGCGAGCAACTATCATATTCTGTGCTATGGGATTGTGGCTGATGCCTAGTTTCATTATAAAAGAAGTGTGTATCTTAATTTTTGGTTCATTTAGGTGGACTTCAGAGCAGGAAATTATATATAAACTGGCATTCTCTATCATTTTTGCTGGAAGCTCACTCTGGTCTGTAATGCTATCTAACAAATTAATTTTTATTTCATTGTTATTGAATGTTCATTAAATGTCCCCAACTAGACTAAAAGGTTGCTGAGCACAGGGATTCTGTCATTTTCCTAGCTATGGTAAGCACAGGGTAAGCCTTCAGTACTGTACCTGCTGAGTCAGGATAGGTCAGAGAGAGTTGTTATTAGCTGTGTTCTGTTTACTACCTGTGCTATTAAGGGCTTAATGACAAAAGAAAAACTGTGTTCGATATGCCTGTAACAACAACTAAGTGAATGGTTTGCTCTGTTTCTCCTGAAGTAGGACTTCACAGCATCAAACAAAGCCTTTGCATTTTTCCTTAAGATCAAAGATTCAGTCACCCTTAATATCTAGAACTATTAGCTATCCTTTATTCAGTTCCAGATTGCCTTCATAATAATCATTTGACAATTACCTTGGTGATCTCATGTTCATGTCCTTTGAACCTTTTCACCACATTTCCAGTTTTCCAATTATAGGCCACAACTGTCTGAAGAGAGTGAAGATTTTAGTTTCATTACTCAATTCTTGTTAAAGTGACACTAGCCTCTACTGCATTCCCACCTTACTTTCTCCCTCTTCACTCACTCCCTCTCTGTTCAGGGACTTGCTCAAAGCATTAGGGGCTCCCTGTTGTGGCCATCCCTCCTCATGTGCCCCTCCTTTGAGTTTCTTTTCTTTCCTCCTGGTGGTTCTCTCTCTCTCCCTCTCACACTAGACCACTGCTCTAAACTTACTGATGGGTTTGGACTAACATTCCCCAAGGAGAACTGATTCCACTGGAGGTTCTGGCTGTAGATGGTGAAGGAGAATTCCACATAGGGTTAGATTTGTTTTCCTACTGCGCTGTATATTTTTGTTGTGGTGCTTTTTAAAAAAATTTACCATTTCAAGCTGGGCACAGTGGCTCATGCCTATAATCCAGTACTTTGGGAGGCTGAGGTGGGCAGATCACCTGAGGTCGGGAGTCAGAGACCAGACTGACCAACATGGAGAAACCCCATCTCTACTAAAAATACAAAATAAGACAGGCATGGTGGCACATGCCCATAATCCCAGCTACTCAGGAGGCTGAGGCAGCAGAATCGCTTGAACCCAGGAGGTGGAGACTGCAGTGAGCCACCCTGCCCGGCCTAGATTTTAAGACAAAATACTGCCAATTAAATTAGGATACTTAGATGCATCCTGATTTAAGAAGTGTTACAATGTGAAAACAGGGCCAGGCATGGTGGCTCATGCCTGTAATCCCAGCACTTCGGGAGGCCAAGGCGGGCGGATCACCTGAGGTCGGGAGTTCGAGACCAGCCTGACCAATATGGAGAAACCCCATCTCTACTAAAAAAAATACAAAATTAGCCAGGTGTGGTGGCACATGCCTGTAATCCCAGCTACTCGGGAAGCTGAGGCTCAAGAATCGCTTGAACCCAGGAGGCGGAGGTTGAGGTGAGCCAAGATCGAGCCATTGCACTCCAGCCTGGACAACAAGGGCAAAACTCCCTCTCAAAAAAAAAATAAATAAATAAAATAATAATAATAAAATAAAATAAAATGTGAAAACATGCATCTTAGAACCAGTGGAATACAGTATGCAAATGGAATTTGAAGATTCTAAAAGGCTATTGAAAATGAGAGACATTATTATTATTTTTTTTTGAGACAGAGTCTTGCTCTGCCACCCAGGCTGGAGTACGGTGGCCCGATCTCAGCTTACTGCAACCTCCACCTCCCAGGTTCAAGCAATTCTTGAGCCTCAGCCTCCCAAGTAGCTAGGATTACAGGCATGCGTCACCATGCCCCCCCTAATTTTTGTATTTTTAGTAGAGACGGGGTTTCGTCATGTTGTCCAGGCTGGTCTTCAGCTCCTATCCTCAAGTGATCCACCTGCCATGGCCTCCCAAAGTGCTGGGATTATGGGTGTGAGCCGCCACACCCGCCCCATTATTAGTATTATTCACTACAAAAAGAATTAGCAGTTGTGCTACCAGTATCCCAGGTGTGAGTGCTATGATAGATCCAAATATGAAGGAGAGAAATGCGAGAATGGGAGGAAAGAGGACAAAAACACAGGAGGAATCATAATGCATATCAGTGTAAAGAGCATAAAAGAAGAGATTAGAAAGTTCCTTTTGCTGACAATTAACTCCTGTGCCTCCATGTAGGTGTAACATGGCATTGGTGGGAAGTATGATCTCTGCCATTTATAGAAAACATGTGGGTGGTCAGGCACAGTGTTAAGGATCTCACCTACGTTCTTTGATTTAATCTTTATAACCACCTGTGAGGTAGCATTATTATTCCCACTTAACAGATAAGACTGAAGCTCAAAAAAATTTAAAGACTTGTCCAAACGAATGGGTAGTGGCCAAGCAGGGATTTAAACCCAGTCTTCCTAACTCTAAAGCTCATATTTTTATACTCATCAACCCTGCTCCAGAAATGCAAACCCTAGACTTCCTTTCAAAATATCTTCCTTTCCCTGCAATAAAGTTCGTTTCCCAGGAAACACTGCAAACCCCACCTTATCTTTCCCTCCAGAGACACAAACATCTGAGTTCAAAGCAGCAACGACAGAGACGGTATCCATGTGAGCTGGGCTATACTCTTGAAAAGCTTTAGTCTGAATTCTCTCTTCTATAATTTCATCAGGCCTGCTAAAAAGAGTATAGAAAATGAGAGACCCAATGGCATGGGAATGGATAGGGGTGTGGTGGGGTAGGGAGAAGAATGTGGGTTAAGAAGGCAATTCAGGCCAGACTAAGGAGGAATATTTAAAAAGGAGAAGAGAAGGGAGACCCACTGACATTGTCAGCAATGGTATTATTTATTCTGAAAATGTGCAGAATGACTGAAGGATTGGAATCTGATAAAGGGGGATCCTGAAGCCAAGAAGCCAGGAGTCTTTCTTTGCTCACACTAGCAATTAATCCTAAAGATTTAGGCCCCTCTGTGTATGGGTGCAGCCACTAGCTAATAAACTGACTGTTTCTTTCTTTTGAGACAGGGTCTCACTCTGTTGCCCAGGCTGGAGTGCAGTGGCACACATGGCTCACTGCAGCCTTGACTTCCTGGGCTCCAGCAATCTTCCCACCTCAGCTTCCCAAGTAGCTGGGACTATAGGCTCATGCCATCATGCCCAGCTAATTTTTGTATTTTTTGTAGAGATAGGGTTTTGCCATGTTGCCAAGGCTGGTCTCGAACTACTGACCTCAAGCAATCTGTCCACCTCGGGCTCCCAAAGTGCTGGGATTACAGGCGTGAGACAGCACACCCAGCCCTGACTGTTTCTTATCCAAAAGAAAACACACTAAACTGTTCAGGGAAGGCCATCAACATTCACCCTGGGTCTTCTCTTTCTTTAGTGGAGAGTTTTAATGGGGCATGATAAAACCTGGGCTCCCAGGGGAAGATTGCTGTACCTGTATTTGTAAGTGCTGTGTTTGAGTTTGCTTTGCAGTTTCCCCATCACAGCACAAAACCTACACCAAACCTTCTGTGGAGGAGCTTGTTTCAGTTGGTACCTGAGTAGCAGCATTCCTTGTGGCTGCTGGAAGTTGCGTTCCCTGTTTAATAAAAAGAATACATACTGTTAATTTTGTTAGGCACAATAATGGTAGTATGGTGTTGAAAATAAATCCTTTTTCAGACTAATTAATTGTATGCTTTTGCTTTTCCTCCTCACCCTGCTTCACCCTTACGGCCCTGAGGTTGCAGATACACAAAACAAAACTGATTTTAAAAAAGACTAAGAAGTCCTGTAATAACTAAAAAACAGAAGTGCCATATGGTCCAGCAATTCTTCTCCTGGGTTTACAGCCAAAAACACAGAAACAGATGTTCAAACAAAAATTTGTGCACAAATGTTCACAGCAGCACTGTTCACAGTGGCCGAAAAGTGAAAACAACTCAAATATTCATCAACAAATGAATGGATAAACATCATGTGGTCAATCCATACAATGAAATATTACTTGGCCATTAAAAGGAATGAAGTACTCATACATATTACAACATGGGTGAATCTTGAGAGCATCATGCTAAGCAAAAGAAGCCAGACACAAAAGGCTACATAGTTCATATTCTATATATATGAAATATTCATAGTTGGCAAACCTAGAGACAAAAAGCAGATTAGTGATTGCTAAGAGCTGGGATAAGGAAGAGATTGGGGAGTGACTACTTAATAGATACAGATAGAATGTAATATAGAATATCTTAATAGACTAGATATAGTTTGCATATGTGCCCCCTCCAAATCTCATGTTGAAATTTGATCCCCAATGTTGGAGGTAGGGCTTAGTTGGAGGTGTTTTGGTCATGTGGCCAGATCCCTCATGAATACTTGGTGACATCTCCCTGGTAATTAGTGAGTTCTCACTCTATTAGTTCCCACAAGAACTAACTGTTTTTAAAAAAGCCTGGCACCTTCCTCCTCACCTGGTTCCTTCCTCTCTTGCCATGGGATGCCGGCTCTCCTTTGCCTTCTGCCACAGTGGAAGCTTCCTGAGCCCTCACCAGAAACAGAAGCCCGTGTCATGCTTTTTATACAGCCTGCAGAACTGTGAGCCAAATAAACTGCTTTTCTTTATAAACTACTTAGGCTCAGTTTTTTTTTTTATAGCAACACAAAAAAACTAAGAGGCAGAGTTTCCTTTTGGACTGATGAAAGTGTTCTAAAACTAGATAGTGATGATGGTTGCACAACATTGTCTCTATATACTAAATGTTACTAATCATAAATTTTATGTTACATGCACTCTGCCACAATAAAATAAATACTAAGAAGATGTAATCAAAAATAAAAAATAATTCACATTACTGAAGCTTCTTGAAAAAGAAAAGCCTCAGTTATTCTAAAAGGTTGTAACCTTCCTTGGTTGCTGGATTTTTTTTTTCTTAATAATTTCACTACGGCACCTTTCAGTGTGCCAGAATCATGAAATAGATGTTCTGAGATGCTAGAAATAATGACACTAAATGAGACAATATAGGTAACGACCTAGACTAGCATTTCTTAAAGTGTGATCCATGGATCATGGGGGATTCCTGAGAGCCTTTTAGGGAGCTTGGGAGGACTTCCCTTTTCCAACTACATCTCTCGGTGAGGCCCTTCTCTCCCTCCCTCTCTCCCTTCCTCTCCTTTCTTCCTTCTCCTCCTTCTCCTTCTTCCTTCTTCCTTTTTCCTTCTCCCTTCTCCTCCTTTTCCTTCTTCCTTCTTCCTTTTTCCTTCTTCCTTCTCCTTTCTTTTTTATTTTGAGACAGGGTCTCACTCTATCACCCAGGCTGGAGTGCAGTGGTGTGATCTCACTGTACCCTCCACCTCCCAGGCTTAGGTGATCCTCCCACCTCAGCCTCCCGGGGAGCTGGGACTACAGGCTTACACCATCACGCCCAGCTAATTTTTTTGTGTTTTTTGTAGAGATGGGGTTTCGCCAACTCCTGGGCTGAAGCAATCCACGTTCCCTGGCCTCCCAAAGTGCAGGCCTTCTTTTCTTTTTATACCTCAACATAAACAATAGATTACAATAGACTGAATACAGAAGCAGATATCCGAGTCAAATTGTCTCCTGTTTAAGGGAAACATTAGAAATTTGCAAAACCATAAAGCAATACCATTTTTTCTAACTAAATATTTTGGTTTTGGAAAGTATATTTATTTTTCATAAAATGATGTTTTATGTTAATATGCAATAGGTTTATTACTAATTGAAAATTAATAAGTAAATATCTTTAAAATTTCTGTTTTTTTAAATTAATTCATTTACTTATTTATTTTATTTATTTTTTTGAGACGGAGTTTCACTCTTGTCACCCAGGCTGGAGTGCAATGGCGTGATCTCCGCCCACTGCAACCTCTGCCTCCTGGGTTCAAGCAATTCTCCTGTCTCAGCCTCCCAAGTAGCTGGGACTACAGGCATGCGCCACTACATCAGGCTTTTTTTTTTTTTTTTTTCTGTATTTTTAGTAGAGATGGGGTTTCGCCATTTTTTGGCAAGGCTAGTCTCAAACTCCTGACCTCAGGTGATCCACCCACCTTGGCTTCCCAAAGTGCTGGGATTACAGGTGTGAGCCACCGTGCCTGCCTCATTTATTTATTTTTAAATTTAACAAACCCTGCATGTGGCATTCAATCTCAGTTTTAATGTCAAACAATAGTAGCAGAGCAGGATTCAAATCCAATCTATAACCTACATAAGCAAAACCTCTTTGGGGGTTTTTAATTTTTAAGAATGAAAAGAAGTTCTGAGACCAAAAAGTTTGAGAGCCAGTGACCCAGAATTTAAATAATGTTAATATTGGATTACATATTAGAATAAAAAGAATAGTGAAACATTTTCCAGATTTACTTGTATCATCCCCCTCAACTAACAAGGCTAGAACTGAAAAGAAAGAGAATGTATTATGCATTCAAACATGCTCCTCCACTCATTCAGGAAACACCTCCTAAGCACCCTATTTATGTAGGTCCTATACCAGTTGCTGGTGAAACTGAAAAAAAGAGAAACCTGAAGATGTGACCAGCATGAACATTTGCTGGGACCCAAGGAACCTAAGGACCAGTCTCAACTACTCCAGGTCAAGTGTCCCCTGCAACTAGCTGTGATATCAAAGAGCTGAGGGAAGTATGGGGGGCAGTGGGAGCACCCAATCCCCATTTCTTCTGAGGTTCTGCTTAAAAGTTCTAGGAAATGAGTTTCTTATGGGCATGACCAACCTAATTCTAGGAAGAACTGTCTACAGGAGAGAACAGCAGCTAAAACGCACCAACTTAATATTCTCATTCATACCATTAGCGTTAAAAAAAATAGAGCTTTCCAGAAGAATTTCAGCCTACGTTTTGAGAAGTAGATAGAATTACCTCCTGACAAGACGAGATAACCAATACAGAAAAGCATAATGCAATGGAAACAATGTGAGCGGCATCAAGAGACCCAGGATCTACCCCAGCCCTGCCTCGTCCCATTATGTGTCGTTGAGCAGCTCCATTCCCCACTCTGGCCTCAGTCTCCCCAGCTAAAAAATTAGGACACTAGATGAAATGATTTTTAGTAGACTATGAGTATAATGAGAGAAGGTCTTTCATTATTCATCTTTGTACCCCGAGTGGCTTGCACAGTACTGTACAACAAAAATACTTGTGAAGTGGCGAATCTAAAGTCCCTTCCACTTCAGATAGTCCAGGATTTTCTGTAAGAGACCACAAGATGTGCTGAGAGGCAAAATTCAGGATAGTTTTCAAAAAGCTTGGGATGTGGTATTGTTTATAGATAGAGGGTGCAGGGCTTCTTATCTGCCAGCCTAACCTATTTTTCAACATTGTCATCAAACTAACGACAGATGTCATCCACAGATCTAGGTCACTGGAAATTGCAGGTGCTATAAATGGATTGGCTCTGCTCAAAACTGATTGGTATAGTCAGAGAGCCATACTTCCCAAGAAAAGCATATTCATGGGACATTCTAAGGAAAAGATAACTTTTAGAATTACTTACCCCCAAACCAATAGGATCTTCTTGGTGAGCTGCCCCTATGCAATAATTTGTAATGTGTATCCTTTGGAAAATAATTCAGGCAGGCACTTCTTAATCTCTGTAATTAGTGGGAAGCCACTGAAGTTAATCTCTTCTCTGTCTAAGCATGTTTGCACTGAAAAGAGATTTACAAGATAAATAAAGACCTTGTTTATTAAAGAGATGGTTAGGTGTAGTTTTCCCTCACAAAGAAAGAAATATTTTACAAAATTCCAAGATTATCTCTCTCACATTTCCACAATTCAGGAAAGTATACTATAATGTTAATTATATATCTATTTTTAAAATATGCAAAATATATTTAAATACATCATTAAACATTTTGATTTTGCTCCTAACATAGTACTTCTGTTCATCAAAAATCTTGAGTTGACTGCTTACTTCAGAGTTTACTGCTTTTGTGAAAAAGGCAATTTCTCCTGTTTTAAATAATTATCCTAGAATTTGAGATGGAAGAGCTTTTCAAAATCACCACATATAAACCATTTATTTATTTCAAGATCTGCAGAATAAGGGTAGAAATATTATTTGCTCAAAATTATAACTAAGTAAATCTCTTGACTTCTAGTCCAGAATTTCCATTATAAATGTCTACAAAGAATAAACAGTTTTATTGCATTTTAATAACTTAATTTTAAGAATTCAAATAAATTCTAAATATTGATTGACAGTACAGCTTATTCTGAGAATTAAGGGCAGCACAGAATAGTCAGAACAACATTTGATTAAATGCATTAGTATCTGCATTAGACAGGACTAGTTGTGAATTATAGCTCAATGTGGCCTTGGGCAAGTTGTTGAACCTCTCTAAGTCTCACTTTCCTATGTGTAAAATAGGATAATAACTCCATCATTGACTTCTGCGAAGATTAAAAATAGCACTTAAAATGTACCAGGAATTGCTATAGGTTTTATATTTATTAACTCATTTTATCTATTCCACAAGCCTCTGAGATACCGTTACTACAGGCTGAGCATCTAATCCAAAAATCCAAAATTCAAAATGCTCCACAATCTAAAACTCTTTGAGCACTGACATGACATAAGAAGGAAATAGTCATTGAAGCATTTTGGATTTCTTTTTTTTGTTTGTTTTTGTTTTTGTTTCATTTTTTTTTGAGACGGAGTCTCGCTTTGTCGCCCAGGCTGGAGTGCAGTGGCCGGATTTCAGCTCACTGCAAGCTCCGCCTCCCGGGTTTACACCATTCTCCTGCCTCAGCCTCCCGAGTAGCTGGGACTACAGGCGCCCACCACCTCGCCCGACTAGTTTTTTTTTTTTTGTATTTTTTTAGTACAGACGGGGTTTCACCGTGTTAGCCAGGATGGTCTCGATCTCCTGACCTCGTGATCCACCCGTCTTGGTCTCCCAAAGTGCTGGGATTACAGGCTTGAGCCACCACGCCCAGCCTTTTTTTTTTTTTTTTTTTTTTTTAAGACAGAATCTTACTCTATTGCCCAGGCTGGAGTGCAGTGGCGCAACCTCAGCTCACGGCAACCTCTACCTCCCAGGTTCAAGCAATTCTCCTGCCTCAGCCTCCTGAGTAGCTGTGATTACAGGTGTGTGCCATCATGTCCGGCTAAGTTTTGTGTTTTTTGTAGAGACGGGGTTTCACCATGTTGGCCAGGCTGGTCTCGAACTCCTGACCTCAAGTGATCTGCCCACCTAGGCTTCCCAAAGAGCTGGGATTACAGGCATGAGCCACTGTGCCTGGCCACATTGGAGCATTTTGGATTTCAGGTTTTTCATTAGGGGTGCTCAACCCTTAAGTATATAATGCAAATATTCTAAAATCTGAAATTTGAAACACTTCTAGTCCCAAACATTTCAGATAAGTGATATTCAACCTGTATGGCCATTTTGCAGATGAGAAAAGTGAGGCACAGAGATATCAAATAGCTTGGTCAAGTTTATACTGCCAATAAGTGGCAGAGCTGAAACTTGAATCCAGGCAGTTTAACTCCAGAGGCCCTGTTCTTGACCAGCGTATTATACTGCATCTCTACAAAAGCTAGTGCATATAAAGCTTTCGGTTCATTCTGGCAAGCTGTTAACAATAAATTATGGTTACTAGCATGACTGCAAGATTAACAGTGATCATACTGGAAGCAGCATTTTCACCCTTATTAATACTGTTCATAATGCACAAATATTTTTTTTTTTTTTTTTTTTTTGAGATGGAGTCTGGCTCTGTCGCCCAGGCTGGAGTACAGTGGCCGGATCTCAGCTCACTGCAAGCTCCGCCTCCCGGGTTTACGCCATTCTCCTGCCTCAGCCTCCCGAGTAGCTGGGACTACAGGCGCCCGCCACCTCGCCCGGCTAGTTTTTTTGTATTTTTTAGTAGAGACGGGGTTTCACCGTGTTCGCCAGGATGGTCTCGATCTCCTGACCTCGTGATCCGCCCGTCTCGGCCTCCCAAAGTGCTGGGATTACAGGCTTGAGCCACCGCGCCCGGCCAATGCACAAATATTAATGCACAAATATACACAGAGAACATATACAAATGGATATATAAATCTAGCGGATATTAAAGCTGAAGTAAATTATGGCCTCTGATCAGAGTGACTGGACCCAATAAAGCTAAGAATTCATTATGTTACATAGCAAGGCAATTAAAAAGTCTCAAGAACAAAGTATATGAATTTGGGTTACGTCTACGTTGTTGTAACTTATTATGAGTAGACTAAGAAATAAAAATACTGCTAAGTTTTCTTCCACTATTTTTATTATGAACATGTAATATACTTGAGAGGAGATATAATTTCTGGTTCATTTTTGTATCTATGATTTGACCTTAGCCTAGGAGAATGAATGCAAGGCAAATAAATATTTGTTGAATTAATTAATGGAATACTAAGATGAAGAGTCAGCTTGGAGTTTGGCTCTTGTTGCCCAGGCTGGAGCGCAATGGTGCGATCTCGGCTCACCGCAACCTCCACCTCCCAGGTTCAAGCGATTCTCCAGTCTCAGCTTCCCGAGTAGCTGGGATTACAGGCACCTGTCACCACACCCAGCTAATTTTGTATTTTTAGTAGAGACAGGGTTTCTTCATGTTGGTCAGACTGGTCTCGAACTCCTGACCTCAGGTAATCTGCCTGCCTTGGCCTCCCAAAATGCTGGGATCACAGGCGTGAGCCACTGCACCCAGCCCAGTGGTACACTTTTTAAGGATCCAACAACATAAGGGCCCTTTTAACCTGCCCAACAACGTATCCTTTAGAGAGCAGTCACCCTGTTTCATCCCAGACTCCAGACCCAGAAAGGCTGGAGAGGACATGGGAAAATCTATAGACTCAATTACGGCTCTGGATGTCCCCATTGGTTCCAGTTGAAACCAGGCCTCAGTCTGAATCCCAGCACTTATTTCGATTCTAATCTGCTTTCCAAAGGCCTTGAGATATCCAGTAGTCACTCTAAACCACCCTAAACATAAAGCAGAGAATTCTCTAACTCTCCAGTGCAATATTCCTTGATATACACCAGTACCTATCCAACTGCTCTATTTCATGAAGAAACTGGGACTCAGAAGGCTGTGACTTGCTGAAGGTCACAGGGGCAGAGCTGGGTGGACTGCACCTTATTTCCCTGGTCCCCTGTTCATGCAAACGCTGATATCTTATCTCCCTCCGTCTCCGGAAATCTCCCTCTGCACACTTCTATCTTACACTCTGGGAGACCAAGGCATCTTTAGCTGCCAAAACAATGCTCAAAGAAAGAAAAGTATGAGTAGAAACACCTGGAAGCTGGTCTGGTTCGACCTTCTAATGGTACAGATAGCGGAAACCGAGGCCCAGGGAATAAGAGGGTCTTGCCTAGAGTCACATAAGGAGCCAGTTCTAGGCCGCCACTCTCAAGGTTGCCTCAAATTTTAGGGATGACTTGTGGACTTGTGTGCAGTTTTTCCTTTCTGTTGCTTCAGATCACAAGTGCTCCTCTCTCTGCCCATTATACGAACAACTAAAGTTTATTATTTTTTATTTATTTATTTTTTTAGAGACGGAGTCTCGAGTCTCCCTCTGTCGCCCAGGCTAGTGTGCAGTGGCGCGATCTCGGCTCACTGCAACCTCCGCCTCCCGGGTTCTGGCAGTTCTCCTGCCTCAGCTTCCCAAGTAGCTGGGACTACAGGCGCACGCCACCACACCTGGCTAATTTTTTGTATTTTGGTAGAGACAGGGTTTCACCGTGTTGCCCAGGCTGGTCTCGAACTCCTGACCTCAGGCAATCCACCCACCTCCCACAGTGCTAGGATTCCAGGCGCGAGCCACCGCGCCCGGCCTAAAGCTTATTTTTGATGTGTATGTGGAAAGAGGGGAGAGGAGTCCCCCAAGATGGGAACCTAGCGCCACCCAACACAAGGTCGGCCCTCATAACCGCTCTCCGCTTCGGCCAAAGGGCGCAAGTTGCCCGCTCCCAGTCTGCCGCTTAGCCCCTTTCTCCCACCTCAGGCTGAGTACCCACCGGCGGGCTCGGGGGCTGGAGCTGGGGCCAGCGGGAACGCGGAGCTGGCGGGTGTGAGCAGCCTCCGAGCCCTCCCCCGCCTCCGCCCCTAGCAGCAGGCGCACGTTGCTAGGGTGGGAGTGCTGACGAAAAGCCTCCGGGCACCCTCGCCGGCAGCCGAACCGCAGTTCCGCTAGCGTAAAACTGGGACAGAACTGAGCGCCCAGTGCTACTTTCTTCGTGTAACAATGCACTGATGAGGTCCAGAGAAGAGGACGCTTGTGCCCAGGACCACGTTGCCAGAAGAATCTAGACAATCCAAGGAAAGCGGGTACCTTTGTAATAGCTATGGAGAAAGCACTTAATAAAGGTCGTCTTTTAAATTATTAGTCGCTCAGATATACATGTTGCCGTGTTTCTTTGGAGTTTCCCTGATTTCGACTAGAAATTCCTCCTTTGGACACTCTCCCAGCCCCCCACTCCTCTATCCCTTTCATTATTTTTTTCATCGAGCCGTTACAGCCTAGTACCATAGCAAGAAGAGACCCCTCAGTAACTTCTTGAGATCCGAATGGGAAGACAGTTGTAGAAACTAACAGTTTTTACAGCTGTAGTCTCTTTGCTTCCAGACTGGAGTCTATTCATTTCCGTATTCCTGGTGCACAGTATGGGGCTTGGTATATAGTAGGGGCTTGTTGAATGTTTGTTGAATTAATGAATGAATGGCAGGGATCCTAGCCAACATTTATTTATTTACTTATTTATTTACTAGACAGAGTCTTGCTCTGTCGTCCAGGCTGAAGTGCAGTCATGTGATCTGGGCTCACTGCAACTTCTGCCTCCCAGGTTCAAGTGAGTCTCCTGCCTCAGCCTCCCAAGTAGCTGGGACTACAGGTGCAGGCCTCCATGCCCGGCTAATTCTTCTATTTTCAGTAGAGATGGGGTTTCATCATGTTCGCCAGGCTGGTCTCGAACTCCTGACCTCAGGTGATCCACCCACCACAGCCTCCCAAAGTGCTGGGATTACAGGCATGAGCCTCTGCGCCTGGCCTTAACATTTATTTTGAACCCTAGTAGGTGCCTTTGCAGTGTTGATCTGGCAAAACAGCCTTTGATGAAGATTTGTGGAGCTTCTGAAAATTGGGTGCCTTTGAGGATGTGGGAGTGGTGAGAGAAGTTTGCCCCCACATACTGGCGATTGGGTCTGTTTTCCAATTCAGGGAAGGGATCCCCTCCATGGCATCCCTGATGGGGTATCTGTATCCCTAGTTGATGCTTGCTCTGTGATGATGCACTCATTACTTTCTAAGCTAGTGACCTATTGTTGGGAGATTTCCCTCTGGCAGGAGAACGTATCTACCCCTATGCCACCTGAAACTCTGATCTTCGTTCAGAGCCGATGGCTCTCCTTACAGACTTAATCCCTTTTCCCCACAACAGCTGGGCAAGCCACAACCAGGATAGACTTACTGCTTTGTCCTGGGACTCTGGGCTAGGCTCAGTGCAGCTACAGAGTTGAGTTACTAGATCTCTGCCCCCAAAATGTTCCTGCTCTGGGAATGTTCTTCCCTCTGAGAGAGAGGCTTTAGGTTTAAGGCATGAAAGACTCCCAAACTGGTACCTGTAGTCAGGCCTCTCCCTGAGCCGCACCTGTATATCCACCTGCCACCCGCCCATCTGCAACTGGCTGTTTAAAAGACACCTCATTCTTGACATGACTCATACTGGAAACATCATCATCTTCCCCCCAAACCTGTTCCCCCTCTTTTCCCTCTAAGTGCTGGGCACTACCATTCACCAGTCACCCAAGTCAAGGATCTAGGAGTCATTTGTAACTTTACCCTCGCTTCCTCGTTCAAGAACAACCCTCGAGACTTCTCAATTCTGCCTCCCAAACATTATAAAAATAAAAATCTGTTCACTTCTCTCTACCTACCACGTGGATTCAGGCCAACATCAGGGTGTGATAGATTAAAAACGACCACGACTTCTTTGTAGCTCTTCCCATTAAGGCTGGCTTTGTAACTTGTTTTGACCAATAGAATGCAGCATGAGTGACATTGTGGGACTTCTTGAGTTTAAGCTACAAAAGGCCTTGCAGTTTCTGCTCCTATCCTTTTGGAACACTGCCAGCATGGGAAGAGGACCAGGCTAGTCTGTTTGAGAGACATGGCCCATCCAGTAGCTAGCACCAAATGCCAGCCATGTAAGTGCCCAGGCTGGAGTGCAGTAGTGCAATCTCGGCTCACTGCAACTTCCGCCTCCTTAGTTCAAGCGATTCTCCTACCTCAGCCTCCTAAGTAGCTGGGATTACAGGCATGCACCACCACACCTGGCTAATTCTTGTATTTTTAGTAGGGACGGGGTTTCACCATGTTGGTCAGGCTGGTCTCGAACTCCTGACCTCGTGATCCGCCCGCCTCAGCCTCCCAAAGTGCTGGGATTATAGGTGTGAGCCGCTGCGCCCGACTCAGTGTTATAATCTTATGGGACCACCAGGTACATGCAGTCCATCATTGATCAAAATGTTATTATGCAGGATATGACTTTATACTCAGCTTAGAGGCCATTTCCCTCTCTATGCCCCAAGTCTTCCCTAACCCTTTCTCCCCTTCTCCAGACTGGGTTAACTATTCTCCTTCTGTGCTTCCAAAGCTCCCACACTTTCCACCACATAGTATAACTTTTCATTTACTTCTCTCTCTCACTCAACTGCAAGCAACAGAGGCAGTGACTGAGTCTCATTTACACTTGTATTGTTGGTGTCTAACCCAGGGTCTGGCACAGCACTACAATAGAACTTTCTGCAATTATGGCAATGTTCTATACTTGCATTGTCTAATACACTAATCACTAGCCCTACTAGCTATTGAGCACTTGAAATGTAGCTAGTTCAACTGAAGAACTGAATTTTAAAAGTTATTTATTTTAATTAAATTTAAATAGCCACATGGGGCTAGTGGCTATGGTATTGAACAGTGTAGGGCTAGCACATGGTAGATGGCCATTGAATATTTTTGAACAAAGATTAAAAGAGAAAGACAGTCATGACAGACAGGACATGATAGAATGCTATGGGTATAAGCAACATAATTTCATGTTGACCTCTTCTGGCTCCTCACTTCACATCCCCTCAACTTTACACTACCAGTGCCTTTGTCTTAGTCCATTTTGTGCTGCTATAACAGAATACTACAGACTGGGTAATTTATTACAAACAGAAATGGATTTGGCTCATGGTTCTGGAGACTGGGAAGTCCAAGATCGAGAGGCTGCATCTGGTGAGAGCCTTCTTGCTGCATTATGACATGGTGGAAGACATCACATGGTGACGTGCAGGAGCTAGAGAGGGAAGGGGACAGACTTATCCTTCTATCAGGAACCCACTCCCACAATAACATCATTAATCCATGCATGAGGTCAGAGCCCTCATGATCTAATCACCTCTTAAAGGCCCTACCTCTCAACACTATTACAATGGGAATTCAGTTTCCAACACATGAACTTTGGGGGACACGTTCAAACCACAGCAGCCTGTGGCTCTGCCTTGTTTAAATATAATCCTAGTTTTTGGCTCTTTATGGCCTGAGTTGGTTGTTCTCTCCTGGACTTGCCCAGATTGATAACATCCCTCCTGTGAAGTGGGCTGGTCTAAGGAGCCCTCTAGAGAAGTGAGCTGTTCTCATCTAGTTCAGTCTGGCTGAGCAGAGAGGACTCTGTCATTGGAAGACTTGGACTTCACCATAGAGGACCCATGTGATCTGAATTTGTCTGCATGGCAGGCTGCCAAATCCCTCTTAAAAGTGATGGTTAAAGCTGGCTGTACTGTGAAAATACCCCAGGAGGAAAAGAAGCCACAGTGTTAGTAGTCTTATTGCTATTCCTGGAAACCATGCAAACTCCAGTCAGATGACTTCCAGTCCTGGCACCAGAGATATTGGATCAGTGTCTGAGAAGGAAGGAGGAATGGACACAGGCCCAGGCAGAAGGGGGCTGGGCTGGGCCAGGCCAGGGCCCCACCAGGCAGGCAGAAAAGGCTGGGCCTGACACCGAGCAGAAGGCCTGAGGGAAAGTAAAGGCTAGGGAAGAATAGTCCTTTCCAAAAGACTTTCCAAAATGTTCATTACAATAAAAAAAGTTTAGGCCAGGCCTGGTGGCTCACACCTGTAATCTCAACAATTTGGGAGGCTGAGGTGGGAGGATCACTTGAGGCCAGGAATTTGAGACTGGTCTAGCAACATAGCAAGACTCAGGTCTCTACAGAAGTTTTTTTTATGGTTTTGTTTTTTGGTTTTTTTTTTTTTTTTTTTTTTTTTTGAGATATAGAGTCTCGCTCTCGCTCTATCCCCCAGGCTGGAGTGCAGTGGCGCTATCTCGGCTTACTGCAAGCTCCGCCTCCCAGGTTCATGTCATTCTCCTGCCTCAGCCTCCCGAGTAGCTAGGACTTCAGGTGCCCGCCACCACTCCCAGCTAATTTCTTTCTTTCTTTATTTATTTCTTTTTTTTTTTTTTGTATTTTTAGTACAGACAGAGTTTCACTGTGTTAGCCAGGATGGTCTCAATCTCCTGACCTCCTGATCTGCCTGCCTCGTCTTCCCAAAGTGCTGGGATTACAGGTGTGAGCCACTGTGCCTGGTCCAGAAGTTATTTTTTTTTTAAGTTTTTTAGAAAAGATCCAAACCAAATGTTATAAGTGAGCAAGTGAAAGGGCAGGTTAGAGAGCAGGTTGTACACATAATCCCAATCTTATAAAATAAATACGTTCCAGCTTGTATCATATAGTGGGAGCTAAGGAATGCTTTAACCTATGTGTGAGGACCTGTAAGTATATTTGTAGCAGGTTTTCACACATTGTAAATCGTGTGAGGTTCTTTGAAGATTGGGGAGCAGAGTTGATGGTACAGAAAAACGTCTTGCACTTGCTAGTCCTCTGCCTGGAAAGCTCCTCCCCAGATGTTTTCATGCCTTGCTTTTTCCAGTGTCACTTACCTGAAAGGCCTTCTACACCATCCTTTCTACACCAGCACCTCTATCATGCATTTTTTCCTGTAATACTTGGATCTTTTTCATAGCCCTTATCATTACTGACATTATATTACATATCCATTTGTTGCATTTTATTTGTTCATGAAAGTAGACTTTGTTCTTCTTGACTGTTGTATCCCCAGTGTCGAAGGCCAGGGGCTCAATAAATCTGTTGAATGACTAAAATGTAACAAAGGTGTCCATTCTTCTCTCCCTAGCTCAGAGTGCCTGAAGTTCAAATACAGCCCTGCCCGTGCCCATGAAGCCTCCAGAGGTCCCCTAAGAGCTCTAAGCAGCTTTCAAACTTTTTTAACCTCATAAAGAAATACATTCATTCTCCACAGTGCATATATATGTATATGTAGGCCAAAGACAAAATTACAACAAATGTAGTTAAGTGACCTTATTGGCTTTTATTAGCACTTCTAGAATCAGTCAACACCTCGTTCTATAAAACAGAATATTCCAATGAGCTGAACAGAGGAGATGGGCTTTATAGGTACGTAGAAAAGAGCTGGGGAAAAAAAAAAAAAAAAAAAAAAAACAGAAATAAGGGGGAAAAAAAAGAGGATTGCTCATTTCAAAGTTAATTTCCTTTCAGGGTTAAAACAGAGAGGACTTCCTTATCATTCCAGCTAATTCTGTACTGTTTGGGGATTTTAATATGCTCTCTCTTTCTCTTTTCTCTCCCAATTTCTCGGAAGTTCAGATAAACAACTTAGTTTTGGTTTGGTGAAGTGGAAATTTAGCATGAGTAACTCCATTTTGTTTTGGTCTAGTCTGGTGAGGCCTAGTGTAGAAGCCCAGTACAAAACAATGGCCTTCCATTCATTTTGTTTAACTATATACAGGTAATTGAAAGAACAACAAAAACCTCACTAAGAGCATGTTTTCTGTTTTTTTCTTCATTCTTTTCTTTTTTCTTTTTTCCTTTTTTGGAGACAGAGTCTCACTCTGTCACCCACCGCCCAGGCTGGAGTGCAATGGCGCAATCTCGGCTCACTGCAACCTCTGCCTCCTGGGTTGAAGCGATTCTTCTGCCTCAGCCTCCCGAGTAGCTAGGACTACAGGCATGTGCCATCACGCCTGGCTAGTTTTTATATTTTTGGTAGAGACGGAGTTTCGCCATGTTGGCCAGGCTGGTCTCCAACTCCTGACCTCAGGTGATCCACCCTCCTTGGCCTCCCAAAATGCTGAGATTACATGCGTGAACCATTGTGCCCAGCCTTTTCTTTCTTTTTATAAAAGATGCTGATACCCACCCCTTGAATTTATTGATATGCCACCTAATAAAGCATTGCCACTGCCTTAGGGCAGAGTTTCTAGAAACAGTCAAGGGGCTCCTTTGCATCCTAGTTAAGGAGTAACTGCCACAAATGCAGCTTCTTGGCTTCATCCCAGACTTAATGGATGAAAATCTTACTGGAAAGTCTGCGTGTTTTACAACTCCTCCTCTTTCCCCTCCTGACCATCCGCTGTCCTCCAACAATTCTGAAGCCTGATAAAGCTTACGAGCCACAACCAGGGAGTTTATGAGTATCCCAGATGTGTCCTGCAGGGCTTGATGAACAGATAGGGAAAGGGCGATTCTCCAGTTCCAGTCCAACTTGGCTCACAAGTGGTGAAACAGAGGAACCTGACTTGATAAAAGTAAATCCACTCCTACCTTAGCCCTTTGCATTTGCTGAGACCTCTGCCTGAAAGCAACTCTGGTGATTTAGGGGCTGTTTTCCAGATCCTGGACCTGGTAGGGCCAATGACTGCTCTAGGACCACACCCAGTGAAAGCCCCCCGCCCCAACTTTCCCTAAGGATTTTAACCCTTGTTCCTCCCCCCTGCCCTCCACAATCTCTTTTCTTTTCTTTTCTTTTTTGAAAGTCTTGCTCTGTTGCCCTGGCTGGAGTGCAGTGGTGGGATCTCAGTTCACTGCAACCTCCGCCTCCCAGGTTCAAGCGATTCTCATGCCTCAGCCTCCCCAGTAGGTAGGATTACAGGCACGCGCCACCACGCCTAGCGAATTTTTGTGTTTTTAGTAGAGACGGGGTTTCACCATGTTGGCCAGACTGGTCTCAAACTCCTCAAGTGATCTGCCTGCCTCGGCCTTCCAAAGTGCATGAGCCACTGCTCCCGGCCACATAACCTCTTTTCTTTTTAGCCTTCACACAGTCGGACGCGATGGTTCACGCCTGTAATCCCAGCACTTTTGGGAGGCCGAGGCGGGTGGATCATGAGGTCAGAAGATCGAGACCATCCTGGCTAACATGGTGAAACCCCGTCTCTACTAAAAATACAAAAAAAACTAGCCGGGTGTGGTGGCAGGCACCTGTAGTCCCAGATACTTGGGAGGCTGAGGCAGGAGAATGATGTGAACCCAGGAGGCAGAGCTTGCAGTGAGCCGCACAAAAAGCACCTCCTGTTTTCTTTGTTTCACCATAGGGTTTAATAATTCCCCATCCCCAGTCCTTAGAAGGAACAAATGGTAACCACAATCTCTAATTACCGTGGCCTATTTCCCTCCCCACCCCCAGAGGAGGGTAGATGCTGTTATGAGGCCATCACCCTCCCACTGGGATGCACTGGAAACTTCTTTTGATGCCAGGAACGCAGCACCCCTGTCGCCAAAGAACCTCACACAATTTACATTCCGAAACCCGCTACAACTATATTTACGGATCCTCACGCGTATAATAAAAACGTTTATTATCCCCTAGTGTATATCAGACACCCAAACTGAACACTTTGCAGACAAGATCTCATTTCATTCTTGAAGGAGCCCGCTAAGGTAGAGAGTATTATTATCACCTCTATTGTAGAGATAAGAAAACAGACACAGAAGATGTAAGTAACCTGACCAAGATCTCATAGCTGTAAGCTGTGTAGCCAGGATGAAACCAATGACTGTATTTCACTCTGTGTCCTCTCTAGTCATATGGTGTAATATTTTCTATCTGGGGTGACAATGTGTCCCCAATGGATGATGACACCACTGTGTGCTGCTCTGGTAGCTCTGGAGCTGTTAGCTGCCCTTACCCCTCAGGGGCTAAAGCAGTAGTGGCTGAGAAGGAAGGGGTTCTATCTCCTTTGTGTAGCCATTGCTTAGAGAAGCTTCAGAGTAGAGGTGCTAGAGCCCCTGTGAGCTATGCGATGTAATGTTTCTCTTTCAGTTTAGCTCCCGCCTGCGTTCAGTTCTGATGCACTCAGAGTACTCTCTGACACCTGAAGGCCTGGGCCCTTTCCCTTTTGAGAGACTGCCCAGCTTTCTGCCAAGACCCCTAAGAAATAATTTGGGGTTGGTGGCCAGGTGTGGTGGCTCACACCTGTAATCCCAGCACTTTGGGAGGCTGAAGGGGGAGGACGGCTTGAGCCCAGGAGTTTGAAATCAGCCTGGGCAACATGGCAAAACCCTGTCTCTACAAAAAATACAAAGCTTAGCTGGGCATGGTGGCACATGCCTGTAGTTCCAGCTACTCAGGAGACTGAGGTGGGAGGATCACTTGAGCTGGGGAGGTCGAGGTTGCAGTGAGCTATGATTGCCCCACTGCACTCCAGCCGGGGTGACACAGTGAGACCCTATGTCAAAAAAAGAGGAAGAAAAAAGAATTTAGAGTTGGAGAGCAGCGTTCTCCTTGTATGCATAGACAGAAGAGACTGGATCCCCAGCAGAGGGCTCAAGGCAAGCTCAGACTAATATATAAGATCCTAGGGGGGAAAGCCCTAAACAGCTGAGGTACATGTTAGCAGTTTTTCTTTCTGGGGTGGGGGTGGGTGGACTTTTCTTCCACATGCTTATTTTCATATTTTGTTTGCTTCAAAATAAAAACGCGTTACTTTTTTTCAATGGTAGTTTAAAAGGAAAACTCAGGCCGGGCGCGGTGGCTCAAGCCTGTAATCCCAGCACTTTGGGAGGCCGAGACGGGTGGATCACGAGGTCAGGAGATCGAGACCATCCTGGCTAACACGGTGAAACTCCGTCTCTACTAAAAAAATACAAAAAAAACTAGCCGGGCGAGGTGGCGGGCGTCTGTAGTCCCAGCTACTCAGGAGGCTGAGGCAGGAGGATAGCTTCAACCCGGGAGGCGGAGCTTGCAGTGAGCTGAGATCCGGCCACTGTGCTCCAGCCTGGGCCACAGAGCGAAACTCCGTCTCAAATAAATAAATAAATAAATAAATAAATAAGTAAATAAATAAAATAAAAAATAAAAAGAAAACTCAAATATTCAAATTCAAAAAATTTGGATGTAAATACTTTGAGAAAATCAGCTTAATACAGATGTTTCTCACTGGGCCTCAATGTTCCATTTAAAAAATTATTAATTATAGTAACCCTTAAGTCACACTGCGTAGGTTCCAATCTTATGGCTACCAATTAGTAACTGTGACCCTTGGCAAGCCACTTCCATAAAAATGGGATCCTAATAGTGCTTTCCTCGCACTATTAGTAGACACTTAGCGATGGCAGCTGCTGTGTTGCAGATATTGTTTTACGTATTTAGCGCATTTACTCCTCAGTCGTCTGGGAGACAGGTACTCTCACCCCATTTTACAGCTGTGGTTCCCACCTAGTGAACAGCCAAACAGGATCTGAGCTCAGGCAGTTTGTCAGCACAGCCTTGCTTGAAGCTAGGCAGCAAAAGGGCAGTGGTCGGGATTACATAACAGAACGCTTGCAAAGTTCTCAGCGAAAGTCTGCCACTTAGTAAGTGCTCAATAAAGTTTTTTTCCTACGGTCACACTAATATTTGGAGTTTTATGTTTGTTGTAGAACAAACACGCATACAATCGCGATTTCATTCAACAAAGAATTTAAAGAGACCTGCTGTGCTGCCCTGGGAACGCGGGTTGGGTGGGAGGAGGCGCCGCGGCGGGGCGCGCTGGCGCACCGGGAGGGCCGGGGGCGGGGTCAACCAGGCCCCGCCCACAGCCACCTGCGACAGGTGGAGCGCACGGCGCGGGAGCACGGCCATGTCCGCCGAGGGCTCGGAGCTGGGGCCCGGGTCCGGTCCCGGGCCGGGGCCTGAGCCGGGGCCACTCTGCCCCGAACACGGCCAGGCTCTGAGCTGGTTCTGCCGCTCCGAGCGACGGCCCGTGTGCGCCGCCTGCGCGGGGCTGGGCGGTCGCTGTCGGGGGCACCGCATCCGCCGGGCGGAGGAGCGCGCCGAGGAGCTGCGGGTGAGCGGGCGTGGGTGCCGGAAGGCGAGGGCTCTGGAGGGACTGGGCGCGCCTGGCGGGACCCGGCAGGGACTGGGGAGCCTGGGGCTTGGCGGACACGACAGCCGGCCCCGGAGCCCAGGCTCCTCTGTGGCTTTGGCTGTAGGACTAGGCGGTTAAGGGTGTGGCCTCTGAAGTCAGGCTGGCGTGAGTTCGAATCCACTCCCTGTGAGTCACGTAACTGAGCCTCAGTGTCTTCATCTGTAGTTTGGGGACAACAACAATAGTACTAGCGCGTATTTATTAGAGTTGTGAGGTATAAATAAGATAGTGGGTAAAATGCTTAGCGATAAGGGGATCCAGGCTCCCCAGGCCCCTTCCATTGCTCTGTTGTGGGAGCTGGGGCTGGCATAGGACAATGAAAGTCTCAGCTGCTCCAGTTCTCAGCGCAAGGTGTGCCCCAGCTCCTGCCCCTGTGGAAACTGACACTGATAAAATCCAGCGCGTCCTTATCCCTTAACCCCTGGACTCAAAGCCCTCCTCCTCCTTTCTCCTCTTTCCCCTGCTCCTGCTGCCTTCTGGCGTCTGGTGCGGTGATCTTTTTCCCTTTCAGGATTGGCCTTGAGTGTACTTCAAGCTGGTTTAAGGGTTTCAGCTGGATAAACGCAGGGAATAGGGAGAATATCAGGAGACTCCCCTTCACCCAGGCTTTCTCCCCACCTCCACTTCCCCCTCGGCTCCAGGATGGCCACCTCCTTGTCATCGCCATTCTCCTGAGCTGCTGAGACTGGAAGAGTCGGAGTCACCTTGGGGCTTCTCTGTGGCCCCTGGGGATTTCCTTGCAATTTGATTAAACAGCTTGTTTCTCCCAACCCCACTCTGGAGTTCAGCCCTGCTGTGAAGCCTGAGGGCTCTCGCTGGGGACTTCACCTACTCAGAGTGACCTGTAATAAACACATCTTATATAGGGTGCTGGGCTTGGGAGGGGTTCAGTTTTTCAGCAACCCCCAAAAGTTCCTGGTTGGTCCTACCTGTTACCTCTATTAACAATAATGATGACGAAGATAAACCTGGATAATGCGGTGTAATCAACTTGCATAACAGACAAAAACTGCAAACTCCAAAGTACTTAAATGTCTGTCATCTCATTCTGTCTTGACCACGCCTTTGAAGGGGTCCTACTTACATTTTACAGATGAGGCACCTGAGGCCCAGAACAAGGCAGTAACTCCTCCAAGCTTCCTAATGTTCAGGGGTGGGACCCAGGGAGTCACTGACTAGGCAAGAGGAAACTGCTGCTTTGCTTCGGCGGTTGGAGGGAGGAAGTGATGCTAATGGGGGTGAGAATGTCATGGAAACCTTAAAAGTAGCTATCAGGACTGGATTTGAGTGGTGGAAAGAGTGAAGCCTGGGGCAGATGGCAGGCCTGGTGCTAGTTTCGGTTGTACTCTACCCCAGGGAGCCTTCTTTGAACCCGTCTGAGGCCCTATGCATATTTATCTTCTTTGCCTGAAGGGAGGTGGGTCTTACCCTCTCTTCCTCTGTGTTAGAGTAGATTTCTGTATTTTGCACATTCCTTCCTCTATCCATCCAGTCAGCAAATAAATCTCACCCTAGGGCAAGACTGTTACCAAAACCAGCACCAGTTCTACTGCTCTCCTACCTCTGGATTCCTGCCCTGTGGTTTTTCAGAAGCCTTCTCAGTGCTCTCAATCCATGGTGCATGGTGATCACAGCTTCCTCCTAGTCAACTCAGTTCTGTAACTTTGTATTTGGACCTGTGAAATGTAAGACTAATTTCTACTTCTGAGTGGAAAGATTTACAAGGGCTTCCTGGAAGAGGTAGCTAAGTTGACTTTTGGCAGATGGAACTGAGGCAGAACTATTAGGGGAAACAGTGGAGGGACTGTTGCTTGGACAGGCTTTAGGTATTACCTGGAGAAAAGGAGAGCAAAAGCAGGGCCCTGGCCCATACCTTCTCGGGGAAGTCACAAGTCACTTCTCTTTGGGCCTCAGCTTTCCCATTTCTTTTTCTTTCCTTTTTTTTTTTTTTTTTTTTGAGACAGTCTCACTCTGTCGCACAGGCGTGAGTGTGGAGTGCAGTGGCACTCTTTCAGCTCACTGCTACCTCTGCTTCCTAGATTCAAAAGATTCTTCCCACCTCAGCCTCCTGAGTAGCTGGGACTACAGGCGCATGCCACTACGCCCACCTAATTTTTGTATTTTTTGGTAGAGATGGGGTTTTACCATGTTGGCCAGGCTGGTCTCGAACTCCTGATCCCAGGTGATCTGCCCACCTCAGCCTCCCGCAGTGTTGGGATTACAGGTGTGAGCCACCGTGCCTGGCCAGCTTTCCCATTTCTAAAACTCCCCTGAGCTCATGGATGATGCTGATAGCTTTGAGAGCCTTGAACTGCTGAACCTCTTGTGGTCAAGGCAGTGGGTGTTCATTTATTCATTCAACAAACATTTATTCGGGGCCTTCTATGTTCAGAAACTCTCTTTGCGGTACTAGGACATAGAGAAGTCAGACTTATGGTGCTTCTGTTTCAGTGGTGGGAGAGACAGATACCCCAAAAGGTAAACAAACACATAATATATATTCAGAGAGTTATAAGTGCAAGGGAGAAAAATAAAGCAAAGTAAGAGATTGGGTGAGGAAGGAGATGGTCAGTGAAGACCTATCTGAAAAGGTGACATCTGAATGGAGTTGGGGAGTGAGACACACACACACACACACACAGACTGGTGGAAACGGTACAACAGGTGCAAAGGCACTGAGGTCAGGTCAAGTTTGGTGCATTTAAGGAACAGAAAGAAGGCCAGTGGCCAGGCGCAGTGGCTCATGCCTGTAATCCCAGCACTTTAGGAGGCCGAGGCAGGCGGATCACGAGGTCAGGAGATCGAGACCATCCTGGCCAACATGGTGAAACCCCGTCTCTACTAAAAATACAAAAAATTAGCCCGGCATGGTGGCAGGTGCCTGTAGTACCAGCTACTCGGGAGGCGAGGCAAGAGAATGGCGTGAACCCGGGAGGCGGAGCTTGCAGTGAGCCGAGATCGTGCCACTGCACTCTAGACTGGGTGACAGAGCAAGACTCTGTCTAAGGAAAAAAAAAAAAAAGGAAGGCCAGCGTGGAGAGAGGTAGAAGGTGATGTTGGAGAAATAAGCTGAGTCACATCAGGTAGGGCTAGGTTGGCTAAGCTAAGAAGCCTGATGTCATTGTGAGTGTACTGAAAGCCATTGGAGGGTTTTGCATAGGGGCATGACCTGGTCTGATTTCCTTACAAAAGGTGGCTCTGGCTAGCTGGGGGGTTGGGGGTGCAGAGTACCCAGTTAGGAGGTTCTAACAGTGGTTCCTGTGAGAGATCATGGCAATCTGGATAGAATAACTGGAGTAGAGGTGACCAGAGGAGAGAGAGAGACTTTGGAGATGGGGTTGATAGGACTCACTAATGGAATTGATGTGGGGTTGGAGACAAACTCCTGGGTTTTAGGTCTGGATAACAGGTGAATGATTGATGGTGCTGCTTAATGAATGGGGATAACTTGGGGGAGAGCAGTTCAGGACAGAACAGAAGATATGGACAGTCAGGGACCTGTCTGTATGACAGAGGACCAAGAGTGTGTGCACCAGAAAGTGATTATAATGGGCTGAGCATGGTGACTTATGCCTGTAACATCCCAGCACTTTGGGGGGCTGAGGTGGGAAGATTGCTTGAGCCCAGGAGTTGGAGACCAACCTAGGCAACATAGCAAAAGTCCATCTCTACAAAAAATGCAAAAATTAGCCAGGTGTGGTGGCACGTGCCTGTAGTTCTAGCTACTCAGGAAGGACATGGGAGGATCACTTGGGCCTGGAAGGTCAAGGCTGCAGTGAGCCTTGATCATGCCACTGCATTCAGCCTAGACGACAAGCAAGACTCTATCTCAAAATCAATACGTAAATAAATTTAACAAGAAACAAATGGCCAGGTGCGGTGGCTCATGCCTGTAATCCCAGCACTTTGGGAGGCCAAGGCGGGCAGATCATCTGAGGTCTGGAGTTCGAGACCAGCCTGGCCAACATGGCGAAACCCTGTCTCTACTAAAAATACAAAAAGTAGCTGGGCGTGGTGACACACACCTGTAATCCCAGCTACTTGGGAGGCTGAGGCAGGAGAATCGCTTGAACCTGGGAGGTGGAAGTTGCAGCGAGCCAAGATTGCGCCACTGCACTCCAGCTTGGGCAACCAAGTGAGACTCTGTCTCAAAAAATACATACATACATACATACATACATACATAAAATTAAATAAAAATAAACACAAGACAAAATGGACTTTAAGGCAAACGTACTACTAAAGTCACTTAGAGAATGTGCAGTTCACCAGCAACATAAAATGATTCTAATCTTAAATGTTTCTAAATAATATAGCCTGAGAATGTTCATAAAGGAAAAATTTGTTTTAAAGTTATTATAATGATAGGCTAGGGTTCCGGGATAAAGACGGAAGTCAGGTCACAGAAGGGGATGATGGACAGTGAAAGGTGTTCCTACTAATGTGTTGGTGGCCTCAACTGAGCTGTTGCTGGAATAGGGATCCTAGAATTAGGGAGTGAGAAGGATAGGGCATGGTGGGGAGAGTGTGGATCCTTGAAGTGGAGATTTAGGAGGTGGTGTAGTTTTTGATAATCATGAGATCTGGGCTATGACCATGGGAGTGGGTGGCTGAGGTGTAGTAACAGGAGAAAATCACTGGGATGGAGTGAATGGCTCAGGTACATGGACCAAGATGCCATGAGCGTTGTTTGTGTTGCAGAACAAGATTGTGGACCAGTGTGAGAGGCTGCAGTTACAAAGTGCTGCCATCACCAAGTATGTGGCGGACGTCCTGCCAGGGAAGAACCAAAGAGCAGTGGTAATTCCTCTTCTTTCCTCTCTACTCGGCCCCCTTAGACTTACGGACTTGGGCAAGTCTAGGGTCCCTTACCAACCTCACAGACTCATTGTGCTACTACCAAAGCTTCCAATCCCTCAGAGACTCAATTTTACCATCTGGACAGGGTAGACTTGTTCCTGTACCATACTTGGTGCAAAGACTCTGCTAGCAAATGACTTTCTTGGGTATCTTGGCAGAGGGGATCAAGAAAGGTCATATTCACCTACCATGTAGTCATTTTCTGCCCAGCTCCAGAATTATAAAATAACCTAGGACTTTTACATTGAATATTCTCTGTGACAATCTTATGAAGTAGGTAGCAATAACATTCCCATTTACAAATAGGAAAATGGGTCCTTGTAGAGGTTAAAGAGGTTAACTGACCTGCCCAAGGCCGCCTCCTGGAAGTGGGTTCCGTGACCTGGATATTCTGTCTCCCAGGCTAGTGCTCCTTCTGCTACATCCCACTGATGATTCTTTTTTTTTTTTTTTTTTTTTTTTTTTTTTTTGAGACAGGGCTTCACTCTGTCACCCAGGCTGGAGTGCAGTGGCGCAATCTTGGCCCACTGTAACCTTTGCCTCCCTGGTTTCAAGCAATTCTCCTGCCTCAGCCTCCCAAAGCTCTGGGATTACAGGTACCTGCCACCATGCCTGGCTAATATTTTTAATTTTTATTAGAGACGGGGTTTACCATATTGACCAGGCTGGTCTCAAACTCCTGGACTCAAGCCATCCTCCCTCTTTGGCCTTCCAAGTGCAAGGATTACAGGTGTGAGCCGCCGTGCCTGGCCTCCACTGCAGATTTTTTGTTCAGTGGACTCATGACCACTGCTGTGTCATCACTCTTAAGTATGCGTATCAGGGGAAGAGCCTATGAATTTCTTTCTGCACATCCCCTCCCTTCTTTCCCTATAGTACATGGAGCAGACTTGGTACCACATTAGTCAGGGTTCTTTTTTTTTTTTTTTTTTTTTTTTTTTTTCTCTTTCGCCTAGTATGGATGTCATGACTTCGGTTACCCATTAGTCAGGGTTCTTTTAATTGCATGAAACAGAACCCAGTTGAACAAGCATAAGAAAATGGGGCATTTCCTGACAGGACACTAGGGGTCCTCTTAGGACCTAAAAGGGGCTAGACTAGGAACCAGAAAGCTGCTAGGAGTCCAGGTAGCTATTTGTTGCTCATCTATGCTTCGCTTTGCATGATGGTCTCCATCTCCCTCCTCTGCCCTCTTCCCCTCTTCTTCCTTATCCTTTTTATTTTATTGTCTTAATGCACTGGTTATGACCTTAGTACTGTGTTAAATAGATAAATAGAAGCTAGTGTGGCAAATTCTGGCTTTTTTTTTTTTTTTTTTTTTGAGACGGAGTTTTGCTCTTGTCGCTCAGGCTGGAGTGCAATGGCGTGATCTCGGCTCACTGAAACCTCTGTCTCCTAGGTTCAAGCGATTCTCCTGCTTCAGCCTCCCATGTAGCTGGGATTACAAGTGCCCGCCACCACACCCAGCTAATTTTTTGTATTTTTAGTAGAGATGGAGTTTCACCATGTTGGCCAGGCTGGTCTTGAACTCCTGACCTCAGGTGATCTGCCCACCTCGGCCTCCCAAAGTGCTGGGATTACAGGCGTGAGCCACTGTGCCTGGCCTGACAAATCCTGACTTTAAGAGAAAAGCTACCAACATGCCACCAGTTATTTATTTAACAAATCTTTATTGAGCACCTACCATGTGCCAGATACTGTTGTTCAATGGGTTAGGCATTCCCCAGTGAATAAAACAGAAATTCCTATTTTCGTGAAGCCTACATTCTTGTCACAGAAGAGGGACAGTAACAAATAAAATATATGTTATGTCCAAAGGTGATATGTGCTTTGGGGAAATATAAAACAGAAAGGGGAATAAGACGGATTGCAGTTACATGTGCTGTGACCAGGAATGACTTCATTAAGAGGGTCGAGGCTGGGCGCAGTGGCTCACGCCTGTAATCCCAGCACTTTGGGAGGCCGAGGTGGGTGGATCACGAGGTCAGGAGTTTGAGACCATCCTGGCTAACAGGTGAAACCCTGTCTCTACTAAAAATAGAAAAAATTAGCAGAGCATGGTGGCGGGCACCTGTAGTCCCAGCTACTCGGGAGGCTGAGGCAGGAGAATGGTGTGAACCCTGGAGGCGGAGCTTGCAGTGAGCCGAAATTGCACCACTACACTCCAGCCTGGGCGACAGAGCGAGACTCTGTCTCAAAATAATAATAATAATAATAATACAAAAAGTTAGCCAGCTGTAGTGGCAGGCACCTGTAGTCCCAGTTACTCGGTAGGCTGAGGTGGTAGAATCGCTTGAACCTGGGAGGCGAAGGTTGCAGTGAGCAGAGATCGCACCACTGTACTCCAGCCTGGGGGACAGAGTGAGACACCATCTCAAAAAAAAAAAAGAAGAAGAAGAAGAAGAAGGATGACATTTGCACAGAAACCTAGGAGATAAGGGAATGGACCACACATCTGGGGAATGAGTGTTCTGAAAAGAAGGAATGGCAAATGCACAGGCCCTGAGGCAGGAGTGTACCTGATATGCTGTAGGAGCAGCAAGGAGGCCTGTGAGGTTGGAGCAGAGGAACGCAGTGAGAAGGCAGTAGAAGATGAGGCCAGAGAAGCAATGAGCTGGATTGTATCCTCAGTGGCGACATAGGGATTTTGCCTTTTATTTGGATATGATGGGAAGCTTTGGAAATTTTTGGGCAGAGCATGATAGTATAATTTAAGATTTAAAATAAACACTTTGGCCGGGCTTGGTGGCTCACTTCTGTAATCCCAGCACTTCGGGAGGCCGAGGTGGGCAGATCACGAGGTGAGGAGTTCAAGACCAGTCTGACCAACATAGCGAAGCCCCATCTCTACTAAAAATACAAAAAATTAGCTGGGCGTGGTGGTGGGTGCCTGTATTCTCAGCTACTCGGCAGGCTGAGGCAGGAGAATCACTTGAACCCAGGAGGCGGAGGTTGCAGTGAGCCGAGATTGCGCACTGCACTCCAGCCTGGGCAACAGTGCGAGACTCCATCTCAAAAAAAAAGAAACACTTCGGCTGCTATGTTTAGAAGTGATTACAGGCAGCAAGGGTTAAAGCAGGGAGACCAGTTAGGAAGCCATTGTAATAATCCAGATGGGAAACAAGTGTGGTCTGGACCCAAGCAATGGTGGCAAAGCTACTGAGAAGTGGCTGGATTCTGCATATATTTTGAAGAGGCAACAGGATTTGCTGATGGACTAGATGTAGGCTATGAAAGAAAGAGAAGATGTGTCAGGATAATACTTAAGTTCTTTTATTTGAGCAACTGGCAGGATGGAGCAGCCATGAACTGGGGTGGGGAAGGACTGCATGTGGAGTGATGGTTGGCGGAGGCGGGGAGGGGAGTGGGGGAGACCAGGCGTGTTAAGTTGTTGTGGGCATGAGATACCTATTTGACATCCAAGTGAAGATGCTGAGTGGGTAGCTGCATATATGAGTTGGGAGAGGGCTGGGTTGGAGATAAAAATTTGGGATTTATTAGTGTATAAATAGTATTGAAAGCCGTGGAAGAGGATGACATCACTAAGTGAATGAGTGTAGACACGAAAGAGCAAGGATCCAAAGACTGAGTTCTAGGGCACTTCACCTCCTATTGAGAAGACAGGAGGAACCAGCAAAGGGGACCAAGAAATCAGCTAATGAAATAGAAGTAAATTAAGAGAACACAGTGTCCCTGCATGGGTTCCAAGGACGTGGGAGAGATCACTGCTCTCAAATGGTGTGTGTTTATTTAACTATCTTATCACAGGTAGAGATTCACGTGATTACTGCCACAATTAAAATACAGAACAGTTCCATCACAAGGACTCCTTGTGCTACCCTTTTATAGCCAATGTACCCTTTCCTCTCCCCTTGTATTATTGTTAATACAAAATTTCTGAATTTGGATTGCTAATCTCAGTAAAGCATTTTTTATTTTTGTTTTAGGATTTTTGCATGTATGCTCAGGAGTGAGATTAGTCTATGAATTTCATTTCTTGTACAGTCCTTATCAGATTTGGTATCAAGGTTATGTAAGCCTTATTCAATGGATTGGGAAACAGAACTCTTTTTTCTTAAGGGTTTACTTAAGATAAAGTTGTTCTTAGTTTTGATCAAAGTTGCCACAGGTTTGACTATTAGTCTTTAGAACCAGCTTCTAGTATTTTTGATCTGCTCTTTTGTATCTCTGTCTTAATTTCATTATTTATTTCTTTTTTTTTTTTAGACAAAGTCTCACTCTGTTGCCCAGGCTGAAATGCAGTGGCGCAGTCATAGCTCACTGCAGCCTTGAACTCCTGGGCTCAAGTGATCCTGCTGCCTTGGCCTCCCAAAGTGCTTGGATTACCAGCATGACCCGGTACTGTGCCTGGCCTGTAGAGTTCTATATGTATGTCTATTAAGCATATTCATTGGGCTGAGCATGGTGGCTTATGCTTATAATGCCAGCACTTTGGGAGGCCAAGGCAGGAGGATCACTTGAACTCAGGAGTTCAAGACTATTTTGGGCAACATAGGAAGACCCTATCTCTACAAAAAATTAAAAAATTAGCCAGACATGATGGCATGAGCCTATAGTCCCAACTACTTGGGAGGGTGAGGTGAGAAGATCACTTGAGCCTAGGAGTTTGAGGCTGCAGTGAGCTATGATTGCGCCACTGCATTCTAGCCTGGGTGACAGAGCCGAGACCCTGTCTCAAAAAATAAAACACTTATTAGTTGGTTCAAATCTGCTCTCTACTTAATAATTTTTTTTTTTTTTTTTTTGAGACAGAGTCTCGCCCTGTCACCCAGGCTGGAGTGCAGTGGTGTGATCTCAGCTCGCTGCAGCCTCCACCTGCCAGGTTCAAGCAATTCTCCTGCCTCAGCCTCCTGAGTAACTGGGATTACAGACTCCCACCACTGGCCCAGGTAATTTTTTGTATTTTAGTAGAGGCAGGGTTTCACCATGTTGGCCAGGCTAGTCTCAAACTCCTGACCTCGGGTAATCCACCTGCCTCGGCCTCCCAAAGTGCTGGGATTGCAGGTATGAGCCACTGTGTCCAGCCACAACTACACTTTTAAAAGGATGCTTGGGCTATTTTTCCAGCATTTCTCTACCTTATTCTGAGAGGGTTTTTGGTTTGTCTCTCTCTGTCATGTGTTTGGAAAGGGAAGTTTTTTCTTTGCCTTGCTCTCCTTTTCTGGGAATGGCTCAAGAAACTTGTTGAGATTGACTAGAGTCTTTTAGGCAGGAATCAGAATCTGATTCATCTTGGGTGAGGATCTGTTTTGATCCAGGATCAAACAGTACAACCATGATTTCAGGGGCTCACCCTGTGGGTAAGGCATTAAGGTGGGATAAACAGGAGAATAATAGTGGGCTGGATATAGTTGCTCATGACTGTAATCCCAGCACTTTGGAAGACTGAGGCAGGAGGATCGCTTGAGCCCAGGAGATCAAAGCTGCAGTGAGCTATGATAGTGCCACTGCATTTCAGCCTGGGCATCAGAGCAAGACTCTATCTCTTAAAGAAAAAAAAAAAAAGATGAAGAAGAGCAATAGTGAATGAATGTTATTGAACACATAATGTGGCAGGCTTTGTTCTACTTTATATATATTAACACATTTAACCCTCACCATAGCCTTATGAGGTAGGTACTATTATGATTCTCATTTTACAGATTAGAAAATAGAGGCATAGGGAAGATAAGGAAGATGTTCCAAGTTCCACAGCTAATGAGCGGAGCAGTTAAGATTTAAATCTAGACACTATCTCTAAAGCTTAATTTCCTGACCGCTATGTTATGTTGCCTCAAGAGCACACTATAAACTTGGAGTCTTACCTTCTGGGTTCACTTGCCATTCACTTAGCTACTGTCTCCTCCCTGTAAGGCAAACTGGGGGTCTCAGAGTTTTCTGTGAAATAGGAATGACTGCCCCGTGCACTGTACAGAGCAGGTCTTCAGGGACAGGGCATAGGGAAGCTGCTGGCCATCCCTGACTTTCTCACATGAAGGAGGCAGTTCTATTCCCACTTGTCTGGCAAGAGTACAAGTGCAGCTGCTTATGCGACAGGTGCCTTTGGGGAGGATTGGTTACCAGGTGGCATCTGGTGTAAGGGAATGGGATTGGACTGAGAGTCGAGAGAACTGGGTTCCAGTCTCAGCTTTGCTACTGAATTGCCATGTGAGCACTACCAAGAGATCTTTTCCTAAGTCAGAAAAAATTTCCTGGGTGGGCACAGTGGCTCATGCCTATAATCCCAGCACTTTGTGGGGCTGAGTTGGGCGTATTGATTGAGCCTAGGAGTTTGAGACCAGCTTGGGCAACACAGTGAAACTCCATCTCTATTTAAAAAAAAAAATTTAAAAAAAGAAAACATTTCCCATTCAGTCAATATTTGAGTACCTACTGCATGCCAGGCACTGTGCTAAGAATTACAAGAAGACACCTGTTAACTTAATTGTCTGAGAATTTATTTCAGGCCTCTTCTGTGGCAGATAAAAATGCTACCACATAACCAGTTGAAATGGACAGCTTTAGGAAGCCATCAGTTTTTTCCCTCAAAATGGTGAAATATCAACTCTACCACTGCTGGTATGGATCCTGCTGATGCGGATGACTTTTTAGGCCCTCTGCTCTGCAATTCTGTGATTCTCTGACCTTGATCCTTTGACCTTGTATTCCCAACTGTGATTAAGCAGAGTATTCTAGTCGGGCTCTAAGTCCTGCCCAGGTCTTCCATTATGTGATCATGGCTCCCTGAGATATGGCCTATGTGTCTGTATCTCAGATTTCTTTATCCTAAACCATATTTGGGAAGTCTTAGGGCAGAGATGTCAAAGTAAAAGGCTTACATGCTATTATTTTCATTACTAAGCCTGTGGCAGACATTGCTAATCAATCTCAACACTCCTTTCCACTGAGCCTAAACCCTTTTATTCCTGACCGGGGCTTTGCACAGACCACCCAGCTCCTCATTTTATCCCTCATCAGAGCATGGCCAGTGCAGCGAGGGAACTGGTTATCCAGCGGTTGAGTCTGGTGAGGAGTCTTTGCGAGAGCGAGGAGCAGCGGTTACTGGAACAGGTGCATGGCGAAGAGGAGCGGGCCCACCAGAGCATCCTGACACAGCGGGTGCACTGGGCCGAGGCACTGCAGAAGCTTGACACCATCCGCACCAGCCTGGTGGGCATGCTTACCCACCTGGATGACCTGCAGCTGATTGTAAGTCAGGCAAGGGTGAGGGCATGACCAGTTGGCCAGGCTCCCCGAAAGTCTGAAAATATGGAGGATGTTTGTCAGTGTGAGGAGGGTGGAGATGAGAATTTGGAGCAGGGATGAGTGACAAAGATTCTTTGCTTGGCCAAACTTTAGTCAGGCTTCTGAGCCTTCTCCCAGGCCCATCTGTGCACTTCATTATAAAATCTAGTTTTTACAAAAGAACCCTGCTAAGTCGGTGTAGCCAGAAACCCCCATCTTTGATATCTGATCATCGTTGATATCTGATGAGGTTCCTCATCCACCACCATCCCCCAGGTGATGTCTGATCACTGTGCTCTGTCTGCAGCAAGAATCCTGTTAGGTAGGCTTAGCCATAATCCCCCTTACCCCCAATGTTTCCTCTTAGTAACTTTCCATCCACTAACCCCCGACCCTGCTCCTTAGCTATAAATTCCTACCTGCCCACGCTGTGTTCAGAGTTGAACCCAGTCTCTCTCCCATTGCAAGACCCCATTGCAATGAAGTCTTGAATAAAGTCTGCCTGACTGTGCTCTAACAGGTATCATTGAATAATTTCTTCTCTAACATGAGGCAAGGGAATAAAACTGTTTCTTTGGCACTGATAATAGTTTTCTTTTGATAGTGAGTCAATGTGTACTGAGTGCCTATTATATGTGAAGCGCTGTGCTATGGGGCAGAGTAACCAGATGCAGCTGTCAGCTGCTCCCAGCCTTACAAAGGAGACAAATACACTAACTGACAATTAGGATATGGAAGGATATGTGCTGCAGTAGAGGAACTCACCCATGCTAGGGACTGACAATTCAGGCTAGGGGAAAGAGGGGTCAGAGAAAAGTCGCTTTCCCGATGAAGCGACTTAGAAGCTGATGCCTGAAAGATAAGAAGACTAGCTGTGTCAAAGGAAGTGAGGAGGTGGAAAGAGTTCAGGAGCATGTAGAGAGAACACTGTGCTCCAGGGAGCTGACGAGGTCTTCGATATGAAAACACAGAGCTCATCCTTAATCCTACCACCCAGAAATCACCATGATTCATATTTGGTACATAGCCTTTCAAAGTATTTTATATAGATAGGCAGCTGCCTGCAGTTTTGAGGGGAGAAGGTGGCATCTGAGTCACAAGCAGAGGAAGGAGAATGTGGAACACCTGAGCTGTCCCACTGCCTCTGCAAGTAGGGCAGTTTCCATGACTGCCTGAAACCGTGCATTCATTTAGTCACAGCGTCCATGGACAGAGCTTGCTCTTTCACAGACACTGGGACAGTCACAATAGAAGACTCAGAAAGAGTCGCAGCCATCCAGAAGCTGGCAGTCTTCATGGGGGATGCTGTCCGGTAAACAGGCGATGGTCCTGAGTGGAGTTGAGGGGAATCCAGGATGCCCTGGGACATGGGGCAGAGGGATTCATTGTGAGCATGTGTTATGGGGGTGTGTGTGTGTGTGTGTGTGTGTGTGTGTGTGTGTGTGTGTGTGTGTAGAACAGCCTAGAAAACTTCATGCTGGTCTTAAAGAGTAGAAGTTTTTATTCTAGAGTCCACATGGAGCCCTTTCTGGTGGTTAAATCTGTCCTAGCATTGACTCCCTGCTGGGTATCTGGTGCCAAGCTTGACTTTGTTTTCTTTTCTCACAGCAGAAGGAGCAAGAGATTTTCGAGAGGTGAGTATAGACCCTGTGATTTGACTGGGTAGTCTTAGAGACCCTTAAGCCTCTTCACACCCCACTGCCTTCAGGCCCTGCTGCTCTTGGGAGAATACACAGGGTATGCAGCTGAGTGGCTTTCCTGGAGCCCGGCTCTGTGGACAGGGAATCTGTCTGCCCTTGGCTTAGAGAACTGCTTTAAAACACATGGAAAGGCAGTGGAATACTTAGTAATCCAAGGCTTGCCACTGCTTTCTTAAACTTCCTCTGTAAAAAGGTAGTCACCCTGTTGGAGGGTTTTACCACCTCCATCTGCAGATGAAAATATTGAGACTAAAAGGGGAAGGGACCTCCCTAAGCCTGGAACCAGGGGGTTGGACCCGTCTAACACCTGCCCTGGTACTGTCACCTCTGCCTCATTCTTCCTTTCCCCGATGGAGGAATCTTTGAAACTTAAGTCTGCATTACCACTCAAATTTTGCATTTTAGCTCTTCAATAATAAAAGAATTTCACCAGGTCCTGCCCGAGTTCTAAAAGAGCTGAGTGCCTGAGGAAGTGGTCAAGAGGACATAATTTGCCAGGCAGAGTAATTCACAAACCTTCTGTGTGAAATTTCAGAGCTATACTTAGGGAACACAGTCCGTTCTTCTTATTTACTTATTTTTCTATATTTCAACGGGTATAAATTATTTATTTTCATATATAAGTTTCAATAGCAATACATGTGCATGAGAGAAAAAAATTCCACCAATATAAAGCCATTTAAAATGAAAAATGAATCTTTCTGGGCGTGGTGTCTTATACCTGTAATTCCAGCACTTTGGGAGGCTGAGGCAGGAGGATAGCTTGAAGCTAGGAGTTTGAGACCAGCCTGGGCAATACAGTAAGACCTGATCTCTACAAAAAAATAAAAAATTAGCCATGCATCATGCTGAGAACCTATAGTCCCAGCTTCTCAGAAGGCTGAGGCAGGATGATCACTTGAACCTGGGTGGTTGAGGCTACAGTGAGCTGTGCTCACACCACTGCACTCAGTCTGGGCAACAGTGTAAGACCCTGTCTCAAAGAAAAAGAAAAAATGAGTCTCCATCACCCTTTCCCAGTCCCATTCTCTGACAGCGATGGGTTTGAATAGATGTGCATTTGTGGACTTATATATAGTCATAGGAGGGTATGGGGGTTTTTTGGTTGTTGTCTTAAAAAAGTTTTTAGGCCTGGTGGCTCATGCCTATAATCCCTTCACTTTGGGAGGCCGAGGAAGGTGGATCACTTGAGGTCAGGAGTTCAAAACCAGCTGGGCCAAGATGGTGAAATCCTGTCTCTACTAAAAACACAAAAATTAGTCAGGTGTGGTGGTGTGTGCCTGTAGTCCCAGCTACTCAGGAGGCTGAGGCAGGAGAATCACTTGAACCCAGGAGGCGGAGGTTGCAGTGAGCTGAGATGCGCCACTGCACTCCAGCCTGGGCGACAGAGTGAGACTCCACCTCAAAAAAAAAAAAAAAGAAAAAGAAAGCTGGGCATGATGACTCACGCCTGTAATCCCATCACTTAGGGAGGCCTAGACAGGCAGATCACTTGAGGTCAGGAGTTCACAACCAGCCTGGCCAATATGGCGAGATCCCTTCTCTATTAAAAATACAAAAATTAGCTGGGTGCAGTGGCACACGCATGTCATCCCAGTTACTGGGGAAGCTGAGGCAGGAGGATCACTTGAGTCCAGGAGGTGGAGGTTATAGTGAGCTGAGAGCCTGTCACTGCACTCCAGCCTGGGTGATGGGACTGAAACCTTATCTCAAAAAAAAAAACCAAAAAAATTAAAACACAGATAGGATCATGTTATACCTGTTGTTGTGAAACTTGTTAGGCTATCTGGGACATCTTTCCAAGTCAGTACATTTAGATTCACGTCACTTTTTTGAAAGTTTGTGAAGTATTACACAGTGTAGATGGATCATATTTATTTTACTGTCTCCTAATGCATGCTTGGCTTGTTCCCGCTTCTCCCCTTGTACAATGTTTTCACACTTCTGCCCATCTTCTCTATCTCCTTTATCTTCATCATCTTCCTTTAATACAGTGTATCCTTAATATCAAGCTGATCTGAGTTTTTTAAATTGATCTTTAATTTTTTATTCAAATGATTTCAAACTTAGAAAAAAGTTGCAAAAGTAGTATAATGAGCTTCACCTAGAAAATATCAATTGTTGACATTTTGCCACATTCATTGTCGCTCGTTCTCTCTGTCTTCCTACTTATCTATCTAGTATATATGTTAGAAACTTATTTTTTTATGGTCTATTTGAGGGTGAATTCCAGAAAACATGAACTTTTCTTTCAAAATACTTCCGCATGTTTCTCCTAGAAACAAAGACATTCCCTTACATAACCCCGGTGTAAATTGAGGAAATTTAACATTGATATAATACTATAATCTAATACAGTCCATATCCGACTGTTTCCAATTGTGCAAATGTTCTTAACAGTGTTTTATTTTGTTTTCCTAATTCAGCTGGTCTTTTTAAGTCTAGAATAATTCCTTAGCTTTTTTTTTTTTTTTTTTTTTAACATTTTTAAAGAGTCAAGGTCAAGGCCAGTTTATAGGATCTCCCTCAGTTGGGTTTATCTGATGTTACCTTATGATTAGATTCAAGTTATACATTTTTAGCAGGAATACCTCGTAAGTGATGTGTCTTCAGTTCATCATATCTGGGGGCACATGATGTCCCTTTGTCCGTTATCAAGGATGTCCATTTTGAGCACTGGGATAAGGTGTTGTCTACTAGGTTTCCTCATTATAAAGTTACACTTTTCCTTTTATAATTACTAAGCAGTCTGTGAGGAGACACTTTCTACATATATATCCTGTGTCCCTTCAGACTTTCTCCCAGTAGTTTAGCAACCGTTGGTCACTCCTGCCTGAATTATTCCTTTATTTATTTGCTTGTTTGTTCTCTTATTCAATATTAATACAGACTCATGGATTCTTATTTTATTCAATACATTATAATCTGTCACTGTAATTACTAATTTTTGACATTCAGACTGTCCCAGATTTGGCCAGTAGAAGCCCCTTCAAACTGGACCCTGTGTCCTTTTGAAAAGTTCCCATCATTCTTTGAGCACTTTCTTGCTCTCTGGCACAAGAAGCACAAGAAGAAAACCCCAGCTCAACTTGTACTTTTCCTGCCCCTGAATCAGCTGCTTCTCCAGGGGACCTGGTTGTTTTTAGTGGAGAATGATATTTAGAAACCAAGATCTGAGCATTAAGGGTACTCAGTGACCTTGCTTCCAGGCCTCACTCAGTGTGTAGCAGATAGAACTAGGAAGAGAGAGAGAGAGTGAGTGTGCGTGTGTGTGTGTGTGTAGCTATTTGATGCATGAGTTTGTATCACAGCTTCTTTTTTTTTTTTTTTTTTTGAGACTGAGTCTCGCTCTGTTGCTCAGTGGCACAATCTTGCCTCACTGCAACCTCCACCTCCTGGGTCCAAGTGATTCTCCTGCCTCAGCCGGCCAAGTAGCTGGGATTACAAGCATGTGTCACCACACCCAGCTAATTTTTGTAATTTTAGTAGGAGACAAGGTTTCACCATATTAGCCAGGCTGGTCTCAAACTCCTGACCTCAAGTGATCCTCCCGCCTCAGTCTCCCAAAGTGCTGGGATTACAGGCATAAGCCACCATGCCCAGCCCATATCACAACTTCTAATTCCAATGTAACACCTCAAGGTTTTTCCTTTGCCCTCTCCCTTTCTACATTTGTACCTTTTATTATTTTACAGTGAGGACTGCAGCCCCCAACAACAATATTTGCTCAATCCTACAATACATACAAAGTTGTCTGGGCATTGCAAAGCCCATATTACTATTGACAAGCCTATCCATAGAGTTCCAGATTTGTCTGTATGTTCTTTATGCCCCCAGGCTGAGGGAATATACTCTCAAAGTACTGTGTTCAAAAGTTGTCAAGCCCCATCTAGCTGGAAACTCACTTATCTGAGAAGTGCCTTGTTGGCTCTGGTGTTTCCACGCTCGTGGCTGGGCTCAACTCTGACCGGACACTGCAGCAGATCCTGCTGCACCGTCTGGGTGTTCTGATCCTGGCCGGGGCATGCTGTGTTCAGGCCCTGTTTCACTCCCACCCCTTTGGGGCCATGAGTTTTGTCTTTGGTACCATAGGGCATCTAGCCCAGGTGGTTTGCTATAGACTTTACTCTCTATGTTCAGCTTCAGATTTGCCCTGGGATGACAGCTTAGCACCGCTGACATCAGCTCCTCTTTCTTACCCACCTGTTGGCTGGAGCTCCTGCATTCTGAGAAGATGGCAATAGAACCTCTGTTGTCCTGACCACAGAGAGGCTTTGTTACTAAGCTTGCTCCCAGCATTTCTTTTTTTTTTTTTTTTTTTTGAGACGGAGTCTCGCTCTGTCACCCAGGCTGGAGTGCAGTGGCCGGATCTCAGCTCACTGCAAGCTCCGCCTCCCGGGTTTACGCCATTCTCCTGCCTCAGCCTCCCGAGTAGCTGGGACTACAGGCACTCGCCACCTCGCCCGGCTAGTTTTTTTTGTATTTTTTTAGTAGAGACGGGGTTTCACCGTGTTAGCCAGGATGGTCTCGATCTCCTGACCTCGTGATCCGCCCGTCTCGGCCTCCCAAAGTGCTGGGATTACAGGCTTGAGCCACCGCGCCCGGCCGCTCCCAGCATTTCTAAGGCTCTATTCACCTCATGCCTCCCAAGACAGAACAGTCAGTGACAGTCTTGCAAAGAGCCATCAGGGCACATGCCCCACCCCTGTTTCCTCACTCCATTTATAGGCAAAGCCATGAGATATGGGGAGAGAGTGTGTGTATTCAGAACCACTGCCTGATCTCAAAGCCATCTTCAGGATTGGAGGCAGTAGGAAAGGTCTTTCTCAGCACCTGGGTCAAAAGGCTGCAGAGCTCCATGGTAAACTCCTACTTTGCCCTATATTCCTTTGAGATTTCACTCCAGGTCAAGGAAAAAATTATGTTGAATGCTGTCTGGGCTTCATCCCAGTTTTGTTCTATTTTTGCATGCAGGAAGGACTTGAATCCAGCTCCCCTTTTTAGCTCTGAATCTGTTCTGTCCTGTCAAATCAGATAACCACTGTCTCCCAGGTTATAGCAAAGGAAGTGTGATTCTATAGAGAAAACAGCAAGCCCAGGGCCTCGCTGCTGATATGTGGCAGTTTTCAACTCCTAGGCATCATATTGTCCCAAATTACCTCTCCAGCAAAACCCAGGCCCCATTGTGAGCTGAGGAGAGAGTTATTAAGAGCACAGTGCCATGATTCATTTGTGGCTGGGGTGATAACTGATGGCCCTTTCCTCTGTGGACCCCTCAGGTGTTTGCATTTTTAAAGTAGAGGAGTGGCTGTACCTTCTGACAAAACCCAGGGAAACGTGACTGCCCCAACAGGTCTGAGAGGAAGGTGAGATATTTTCCAGGCAAGGGCAAGATGTTGGAGTAGAAAGACTATCGTGCAGGGGTTCCAGAGGCCCAGGTCTTAGCCCCAGCTCTGCCATTAACTTACTGAGGGACTCTGGCAAGTTGCTTCCTCTGCAGAGCACACCACCTTCCATTTCTAATACTAGCACCAAGAATACATCTCCCTGTAAACTGTCCACCAGCTTTGCTAAAATTAAGGTTTCTCCGGGGGAACAGGGGAAATGGCCACCTTCCCTTTGGGCCGAAGCCCCTGTTTGGGGCCTGGATGCCACTTTTTTTTTTTTTTTTTTTTGAGACAGAGTATCACTCTGTCACCAAGGCTGGAGTGCAGTGGCATGATCTTGGCTCACTGCAGCCTCGAACTCCTGGGCTCAAGCAATTCTCCCACCTCAGCCTCCCAAGTAGCTGGGACTACAGGTGCATGCCTCACCATGCCCAGCTAATTTTTAAACTTTTTGTAGAGATGGAGTTTTATTATGTTGCCCATGCTGGTCTCAAACTCCTGGGCTCAAGCAATCCTCTCCCACCTCAGGCCTCCCAAAGTGCTAGGGTCACAGGGGTGAGCCACTGCACCTGGCCCTAGCTGCCAATCTTGGTGTCACCTGGATAGGAGGATTTTACTTCTGTTCTTCTCTTCACCCCATACTGATGCAGATATATTTCCAGAACCATCCTGAATCTCTGTCTCTGTTTTTCCCCATATAAGGACCGAAGAAGCAGAGGGCATTTTGGATCCCCAGGAGTCGGAAATGTTGAACTTTAATGAGAAGTGCACTCGGAGCCCACTACTGACCCGACTCTGGGCAACGGCGGTTCTTGGGTCCCTCTCAGGTTAGCAGCAGTAGAGCCCAGGACCATTAGGATAACTGGGCTTCTGTCTGTCTGTCTGGGGTTCACTCCTGGTTCACAATGGGGACCCGTGCTTCTGAAATGGTAGCTTAAACAAGTCATCCTGGATGCAGGCTGGTCAGTAGGGTCAAGGTTCCAGACATGCCTGGGGCAGCTGGGCCAAGTCCTGCCCATTTCCAGACTAACATGTTCTGTGGTTGGGTCAAAGATAAATCTCACTCCTATAAGTCATGTCTTCCTTATATCCTGACCTACTAGGGCAGCTCAGTATTATTTATTGGAAACCTGGGGTTTCTCTTTAAGAAGATATAATTGATGGCCAACTGAAGAACATCTGGACCAAGAATCAAGCTGCCTGATTTGCCTCACTTACTCACTTTACACACACTAACTCAGACCAACTGTGGGCCTCACCCTGTGCCGCATGCTGGGGCCACAGAGGTAAACTGACATGGTCTTCTGCCTCCAGGAATTCCCACTTAGCACAGGGGTTCTCCAGAGCAGGCCTCCTCCAAGTTAGATGGAAGCTTCCATTCTCCCATGATAGTCTTTGCACAATTCATGGAATAGTTAGGTTAATAGACTGATTTTTTTTTTCAGTTTTAATCCTCCCTCCTCATATTATCCTTACAATTTTGGTACAAGCTGTAACTTGTCTACTCTAGATTCTGGTATCAAATGATGCTTGATTTACCAGCAGTTTAGATATTTGCTAGAAATTGCTTATCTCGTGCTTCCTAGCTCCCAGAGGCTGTGTTTCTAGGACAAGTCCAATCTGGAGGATATGACCAGTAGAAAGGAGTATAATCAGTGCTAGGTATACGAACAAAATGCTTTGTCTTCATTTTGCCCCTGCCACCAACTCAGTGTCTAAACTTGGGCAACTCCCTTTTTCCTCTCTGGGCCTTATTTCTATCAGAGTTTACAGATGAGGGTCTTGACTGATAGTAACTATTGTTATAAAGGCTACAGTTTACAGAGCACTACATGCTGGGCACTTTACATGTATGATTCTGTTTAATTCTTGTGATCACCCAGTGAGAAGTCCTATTTTGACCCCCATTTTATAGATGAGGCACAGAGAAAGTAAATGGCTTATATGAGGTCACCATGCTAATGAGTGGTGAGGAACTTTTGCTACCTGGCAGGACCAGGTTAGGGCAGGGTGGGCCCTCGGCAACTCTGAGAATTCTTTCTGGCAGGCACAGAGGACATACGGATCGATGAGAGGACAGTCAGCCCCTTCCTGCAATTGTCAGATGATCGAAAGACCCTGACCTTCAGCACCAAGAAGTCAAAGACCTGTGCAGATGGCCCAGAGCGCTTCGACCACTGGCCCAATGCCCTGGCTGCCACCTCCTTCCAGAATGGGCTCCATGCCTGGATGGTGAATGTCCAGAACAGTTGTGCCTATAAGGTGGGCGTGGCCTCAGGTCACCTGCCCCGCAAGGGTTCTGGCAGTGACTGCCGTCTGGGCCACAATGCCTTCTCCTGGGTCTTCTCTCGCTATGATCAGGAGTTTCGTTTCTCACACAATGGGCAGCACGAGCCCCTGGGGCTGTTGCGGGGCCCAGCCCAGCTGGGTGTACTGCTGGACTTGCAGGCTCGGGAGCTGCTCTTCTATGAGCCAGCCTCCGGCACAGTGCTGTATACCCATCATGGGTCCTTCCCGGGGCCCCTCTTCCCAGTCTTTGCTGTGGCCGATCAGACCATTTCCATTGTCCGCTGACCTCTGGCCACAGGAAGCCAGGTCCACCTCCCACCATCCTTTCAGGCCATGTTTCTACTCAGTGTCCTTTTCCCAAATGATGTGTGTGGTGTTTCTAAGGGAAACAAGGCCCACAACCAGTGGGCAGCTTTAGGAGGGATGGGGATCTCTTTCAGATCTAGGCACAACCTGTAAATCACAGGTGTCCAAACTTTTGGCTTCCCTGGGCCACATTCGAAGAATTTTCTTGGGCCACATAAAATACACTAACGATAGCTGATGAGCTTAAAAAAAAAAAAAAAAAAAAAAGTCTGTTTATACATTTTCGTGATATCTGCCACCACGGATAAGCAAAAAAGTCCTTGCATTCAAAGGGTTGGAGATTGCTGCTCTGAATGCTGGCTATCTATGGGGAACCCATTGTTCCCTGGGCCTTAGTCTCCCAAATCCACCATGCATCTGCCCCTCTGAGGGTGTCTTCACTTTGTCTCTGGCATCCAGCATGGTGCCTGGTGCATAGTGAGTATGCAATAAATATTTGGCAGGTGAGTGGATGGATAGATGGATAAGTGAATGTAGGTGGACAGGTGACTTGGTTGGATGTGGTGGTCTCTGGAGAAGCACTGCCATTCAGCCTCCTGCTCCAGCTTTGCACATGCAGAAGTGCTTCTCTTCACAGGCAGAGGAGCCTGTGGCTAACGTTTCCGCATCCAATTAATTCAGTGCTGCTTTTTCATGACATGGCACATAGAGAAAATATTTTTTCTAGCACACAAGAGCAACCTGAAAGGCTACTCCTGGCCAGCGGACTCTGTCCTAGGGGACCGTGTCCTCCCCCATGTCCTGCCTAGGCCCTCAGAGGACCAGGGAATCGTGTCTCCAGGTAACCTGACTGCAGCCCCATCATCAGCATCTGTCTCACACCTGCCGACTGAGCTCCAGCCTGTGCCCACCGGTAATAGCAGGGATGGCCTTTTCCCTTAGAGAAGCTGATAAGTTTCCCTACCTGATGGCCCCTTCTAACATAAACTGCATACCTGGGGTGATGGCTTAAAGCCAGAAAGAGCTGAGGGAGCAAGAGGGCCAACCTCAGGGCACGTGGGCATTATTAAAGGTCTTGAAAGCATTAAAGATTTATTCCATGTTCTTTGTTGCTAATTGGGTGTATACCGTACGCTGGCCTGTCTTCATACCCTTATTGCATTCTCGGAAATAAATGGGCGGCAGCTCAGTGTAGCAGAGAGAGCCTGGAGATGTTACCAAGACCCAAGGCAAGTCCCTTTATGCTTGTCTCCATGAGAAGTTCACCCTAGAACAGTGGTCTTCAAACTTTTATCCAGGAACTCTCTTCTAAAGTAATCTTACCTACAACTTTAGGCTCCTGGGTCCAAAGAAGATGAAAGGCAGAGCCCTCCCTACTTTCTTTGGGAGCCACAGAGCAGTTTGAAAACCAGTGTTTAGGCCGGGCGCGGTGGCTCAAGCCTGTAATCCCAGCACTTTGGGAGGCCGAGACGGGCGGATCACGAGTTCAGGAGATCGAGACCATCCTGGCTAACACGGTGAAACCCCGTCTCTACTAAAATACAAAAAAAAATTAGCCGGGCGAGGTGGCGGGCGCCTGTACTCCCAGCTACTCGGGAGGCTGAGGCAGGAGAATGGCGTGAACCCGGGAGGCGGGGCTTGCAGTGAGCTGAGATCCGGCCACTGCACTCCAGCCTGGGCAACAGAGCTAGACTCCGTCTCAAAAAAAAAAAAAAAAAAAAGAAAACCAGTGTTTATTAATTAATTTTTGTTTTGAGACAGAGTCTCAAAGGGAGGCAAAGGCAGGTGGATCACCTGAGGTCAGGAGTTCGAGACCAGCCTGGCCAACATGGTGAAACCCCATCTCTACTAAAAATACAAAAAATTAGCTGGGCATAATGGTGCACACCTGTGATCTCAGCTACTCGGGAGGCTGAGGCAGGAGAATCGCTTGAACCTGGCAGGCGGAGATTGCAGTGAGCCGAGATTGCAACACTGCCCTCCAGCCTGGGCAACAGAGTGAGACTCCACCTCCAAAAAAAAAAAAAGAAAGAAAAGGAAATTACTGCTGCCTGGCCTTGGTGCCAGTCCCAAGGAAGACAGACCAAAAGGGGTTTGGTCAAGTCCCAAAGAGATCTTCCCTGCCTTTGCCTGGGCACAGCCCCTGCTCAAAAATCTGGGTCAAAGCCAAGGCTTTTCTTGACACCTGAAGGTCCCCATGCCATGTTTCTCCCAACCCACCAACCCAGCTCCTCACAGCAGCCTTTATTCCACAGTTCATGGGCCTGCTGCAGGAACGTCCTCCGCATCCCCCTGCTCATCTAAAGCCACCCCCAGTGCCACTCCTCAATTCAGCATCCACTCTAGAACGCTCCCGGGCTGCTGGCACCAGAACACACTGCCAGAAGTGTGCCTATGTTTTTAATGTGTGGCATCCCCTGGCACTGGGCAAGGCACAGAGATGTCCAGCAAATACCAAGTAGAAAGGTGTGGGAAGGTGGGGAGGCAGGAAGAGAAATTTTTGTTGTTTTTGTTTTCAGAGACAGGGTTTCACTCTGTTGCCCAGGCTGGAGTGCAGTGGCATGTAGCTCACTTTAACAGAACTCCTGGGCTCAAGTGATCCTCTCACCTCAGCCTTCTGAGTGGCTGGGATTAAAGGTGTGTGCCAGCACACTGGGCTAGTTCTTAAATTTTTTGTAGAGATGGGGTTTCACCGTGTCGCCCAGACTAGTCTCGAACTCCTGAGCTCAAGTGATCCTCCTGCCTCAGCTTCCTAAAGTGAGAAAAGGAATTGAAAAACCCAACCTACTTCAACCTCCAATTGTTCCCCCCTCCCCACAAACCTACTCCCTACACTCCAGTCCTTGTTCCCCATACTTTCCTACCTCCACACTGGTCCCTGCGACAGAGGTGACCTTTGAGATTGACATTCTTTAGGACACCTCCCCTATTCTCCCAGAATCTCCACTGTACCATGTTTCACATGACAAGCATCCCCATCTACTTACAACCTAGTGGTCAAGCCAATGGGCTTTGGATTCAGATGTGCCTAAATTGCAATCCTGGCTTCTTTGCATGCTGGCTGTGACCTCGGGCAGGCTGCTTAACCTCTGAATTTCAGTTTCCTTATTCGTAAAGTTGTGGTGGGGGTCAAACCACCTAGGCCCAACGAGGTAGCTTTGAGGGTTATATGTGCATATAAGTAACTTAGCACATTACCTAACACGAGGCAGGCATGTCAACAGGATTTCTTCTCATGACTGTCATGGGGTTCCTTGCTTAAATTCTCTTCATACTATGTGGTACTAATGGACAGTGTCCCTACAGGACAGCTTAGCATCCTGCTTTTCAAACTAAGCGCTGACCCCAGGCTTCCAGAGGGAGGGTGTTTCAGAAGCTGAAAGAGAGACCTTAGGACCTCTGCTTCAACTCCAGCAGTTTTTCAGTTTGTTTTTAGTTTTGCATAATGGGGTTTCAGACCTCCCATGACAAAAGGCCCCTGCTGCTAAAACCAAGTTTGAAAGTGCCTGGTTTTGAAGCTAGTTGGGCCTTCTGTGAATCCTGTTGGATGTGAAGAGGCCTCCTAGTGGAAAAGGGTGCGAATGAGAATGAGGGAAGGCAGAGGCTAGGAGCTGGTTAGTGGGGCAAGGCTGAGAGCTCAGCACTCACTGCTTTATTATCAGAATAGGTGACAAAGGCTGCAGGCAGAGGGGGAAAGTCCAGAGCTGTGGAGAAAGAGGCTCCCTGTCTCCAAGGTTTGTTTAGGGTTTTCTCCACGGCCTAGGGCCCAGCCACTTCCCTCACCGGCCTCAAAGCCCTGGGGTGGAGCCCTCTAGGCAGTCAAGGGCAGGCAGGAGATGGGCCAGAGAGGGGAGGATGTGTTCTTTAGGTACAGAATCCCTGACTACAGGGTCCAGTGCCTGTGGGTCAACCACCAGGAAGCTGTGCATGCCCACAGCCCGAGGCCCCTGGTAATCGCAGAGGTAATTATCCCCAACATGGGCTGTCACTACCGGTTCCGTATGAGCAAGCCGCAAGGCCTCCTGGAAAATGCGGGGGTCTGGCTTGGGCCAGCCAGCAGCCTCAGAGGTCAGCACAAACTCGAAGTGTTCACGCAGGCCAAGGGCCCCCAGGATGCCCTCTAGCCGTCGGTCAAAGTTGGAGATCACTGCCAACCTCAGACCCCGTGTGCGGCACTCCCTCAGGGTGTCCTCAGCCCCATCCAACACCTGCCAGGTGCAGGGGCGGCTGAAGTCCTCATACAGCTGTTCAGCGATGGGGGCTACAGCCTGAGCATCCTGGACACCTGCCAGGTGGAAGGTCTGCAGGACCACGTCCAGCCACCACTGGCGGGAGGTGAGGCCATGGCTCAGGCCGTAGTTGGGGAAGCTGTGGCTCTGGACCCTGTACGCCTGCCTGAAGCCTTGTTCCAGGGCTGAGGGCTCCACCTCCAGCCCATGGGCCCGGGCCTTGGTGGCATACTCCTCCCCTAAGGGGTGGCGGAGCTTGAGCAGCGTGTCCTTCACATCCCATGTCAGCAGTCGTATCTGCAGCCGGTGTGCCATGGAGGAGGCCAAGTCCACCCCAGTTCTGCCTCAGGTCCCACAGTGGGTCCCAGGGGACGCTGAGCTGGATAAGACCACCTCTGCACAACCTAACAATCACCTCTTTCCAGGCCTTGTGGGTCAGATTTGCTGGCTAACATGAAGCACTTGGGAAATGTCTTCACAGCACAAGATCCTAGAATGAAAAACAGCAGGTAAGGTGAAAGCTCAGGCCCTGACATCAGACAGACTGGGTTCAAATTCTGGTGCTGCCAATGGTGTGACCCTAGGAAAGTCATTCTGAATCCACAACACATTTCTGAGCACCTTTTTGAGCTAGCTGCTAGCATATGGGACAGATTTCCGGCCCTTATGGCATTTACAGGCACTGAAGAACAGGGATACGGATATTAGGCAAAGAACTACACAAATACTTAAATACAATGAAGTCAATAGATACCATAAGGATATAAATCCAGGGAATGCATCTAGTCTGTGTAGTTAGGGAATGTCATAAGCAAGTGAAGTTTCTTTTTATTTATTTTTAATTTCTTTTTTGAGACACGGTCTCTCTGTCTCCCAGGCTGGAGTGCACGGCTCATTGCAGCCTTGATCTCCCAGGCTCAGTCAGTCCTCCTGCTTCAGCCCCCCTCGTAGCTGGGAGCCACCATTCCCAGCTAACTTCTGAATTTTTTGTAGAGACGGGGCAGTGGGGTGGGGTGGGGTGGTGGGGGTCTCACTATGTTGCCCAGGCTGCTCTCCAACCCCTGGACTCAAGTGATCCCCCAGCCTTGGCCACCCAAAGTACTGGGATTACAGGCGTGAGCCACCATTCCCGGCCCTGCAAGTCGAGTTTCAATGGAGATCAGAAGAATGCATGTGCAAGAAGCAGAGGTAGGTGAGTGCTCCCATCAGTGGAAATAGCAAGTGCAAAGGCCCTGAGGCAGGGCAAGGAGTCTGGTGCTTTGGGTTGACAGAGGCCAGCTCAGGCAGGACCTTGTAGGTCAGGACACAATTATTATGATTGCTATTATCATTAGTAGGGATGTCAAAGACAGAAAGGGACTTGCAGAGCATCTGAACAATATCCTGGCTGCTGGGCAGAGTAGACTGAGCCTGAAAGGGGCAGGTACTTACCTAAGGTCACAGTGGGTCAGTGGCACAGCCAGGACCAGAACCCAAACTTCCAGACTCTCTGACCAGTTCTTCCACTGTACCATGAAATATATTTGGATTTTTAAAATCCAGCACAGGAGAAAAGACAGGACAGAGCAGGCTGTCTGTCTCTAGCCCTCTCTGAACCCCAACTTTTCGATCTTTACTGGAGGTAATAACACTGGCCTAGGAGGAGAGCCGATGAGAGAACTGACTCAAGGCACAAGAAACAAATGACTCAGCCTGCTATCCAGAGGCTGGTGCAGCTTCTTTCCCCAGACAGAGCTGATCCCAGACAAGGCCTGTTTGATCCCAGACAAACCCTTGAAACCTGAGGGGCCAGAGTTCAAAGTACAGCCAAGTTGATACTTAGGGAGGGGCATCGCCGGTGAATCTGGGGAAGCCTTGGAGGAAGCTTGTCTAGGAAATGAATTAAGGAGACTCATCCAAAGACCCTCTCATTTTGCAGGTGTGTAGACAGAGACCCAGTGAGGGGCAGTAATTTACCCCCCAAATCACACAGGGAGTCACGCTGGCACAGCTAAGACTAGAGCAGAGGGTTCTGGCTCCTGACCCATGGCTTTTTCTTTTTTTTTTTTGAGACGGAGTTTCGCTCTTGTCACCCAGGCTGGAGTGCAATGGCACGATCTTGGCTCACTGCAACCTCCACCTCCCAGGTTTAAGCGATTCTCCTGCCTCAGCCTCCCCAATAGCTGGTATTACAGGCATGTGCCACCACACCTGGCTAATTTTTTTTTTTTTTTGAGATGGAGTCTCGCTTTGTCACCCAGCCTGGAGTGCAGTGGCGCGATCTCGGCTCACTGCAAGCTCCGCCTCCCGGGTTTACGCCACTCTCCTGCCTCAGCCTCCCCAGTAGCTGGGACTACAGGAACCCGCCACCTCACCCGGCTAGTTTTTCGTATTTTTTAGTAGAGACGGGGTTTCACCATGTTAGCCAGGATGATTTCGATCTCCTTTTTTTTTTTTTCAATTCTTAGTAGAGACGGGGTTTCTCCATGTTAGTCAGGCTGGTCTCGAACTCCCGACCCCAGGTGATCCGCCCATCTCAGCCTCCCAAAGTGCTGGGATTACAGGCGTGAGTCACCACACCTGGCCGGCTCTTTTTTTTTTTTCTTTTTTCTTTTTTTTCTTTTGAGACAGAGTCTCACTCTGTCACCCAAGTTGGAGTGCAATGGCATGGTCTCTGCTCACCGCAACCTCCGACTCCCAGATTCAAGCGATTCTCCTTTCTCAGTCTCCCGAGTAGCTGGGACTACAGGCGCCCACCACCACACCTGGCTAATTTTTGTATTTTTAGTAGAGACAGCGTTTCACTATGTTGGCCAGGCAGGTCTCGAACTCCTGACCTCGTGATCCTCCCGCCTCGGCCTCCCAAAGTTCTGGAATTACAGGCGTGAGCCACCGCGTCCGGCCTGGCTTTTTCTATTTCTAAAAGCGCGGGTTTGGGGCTCTGCGCTGCAGGCATGAACTGCTCGCCCTTCTTCCCCACCTCCACGGCTCGGGAAAGGCGAAGTCCAGGAGCCCGAACCTCACGCAGAATCTCTACAGCTGCCGTTAGCAGCGTGAGCTGGCGCGGGGGTCCTAGGGACCTTTGCCGCGGCCGACCCCTTGGGTCCTCTTCTCGCTGTAGCGCATCCACGGCTGGGCGCCGGTTCCCCGGCCCAGGACCTACCTGAGTTGCAAGGAAGCCGGTTGAGAACGCAGCCGCAAGTCCCGCGGGCTCGGGGGAAGGCGCGCAGGCGCCGGGAGGCGGGGCGGGGATCGTGCGGGCCGCCCCTCCCTCCCATCCCGACCCGCCTCTGTCTGTCCTTGCCCGTTTCCCCGCCCTTGTCCCCTCGCTTTCGCCCTCTTCCACCCGCCTCCCTCGTCGCCCTCGCCGTCCCCTCTCCCTCCTTCGTCTCACTGTGCGTCTCTCTGCGCCCGTCACCCGCCTTCACTGCGCGGTTCCGTTACTCTGCACCCGCTCCGCCCCTTATTCCCTCCCCGCTCCCCCTCGGTTCCCCAGCCCGCACACCCTTCTGCGCTCTCCAGCCCCCGTTACCAGCACCTTCTCTGCCCTGTCTGCGCACCCCCTGCCCGCCACACCTTCCCTCCCCACCGCGCTCTTCCCGCTCCCCATCCCCCACCCCGCTCCTTGCCTCCTTTGGATCGGATACCCCCGAGAAGTACCAGGTTGACTGGGAGGAGGGGAGCTGGGACCCAGCCTTGCTTGCTTAGTGTTGTGTGAACCTGGGCAAGGCCCTGCCCCTCTCTGATCTCAGGGTCCCCAGTTGGTATTGGAGGAAATTGCTTTCAGTTGGAAACTTGTTAAATCCAACTTGGTGAGGTTAAATCCAACTGCAGTAACCTGCTTTTTTATTCTTTCTTTTTCTATTCTTTTTTTTTTTTTTTTTTGAGACGGAGTCTCGCTCTGTCGCCCAGGCTGGAGTGCAGTGGTGCGATCTCAACCCACTGCAACCTCGCCTCCCAGGTTCGTGCAATTCTCCTGCCTCAGTCTCCCGAGTAACTGGGATTACAGGCGCATGCCGCCACACCCAACTAATTTTTTTATTTTTTTTGTAGAGACGGGGCTTCACCATGTTGGCCAGAGTGGTCTCAACTGATTTGCCCGCCTCAGCCTCCCAAAGTGCTGGGATTACAGGCCTGAGCCACTGCACCAGGCCTATTCTTTTTTTTTTTTTTCTTTTTTTGAGACAGAGTTTCACTCTTGTTGCCCCAGGCTGGAGTGCAACGGGAGCGATCTCGGCTCACTGCAACCTCCGCCTCCTGGGTTCGAGCAATTCTCCTGCCTCAGCCTCCGGAGTAGCCGGGATTACAGGCCTGTGCCACCACGCCCGACTAATTTTTGTATTTTTAGTAGAGACAGGGTTTCGCCGTGTTGGCCAGGCTGGTCTTGAACTCCAGACCTTAGGTGATCCGCCCATCTCGGCCTCCCAAAGTGCTGGGATTACAGGCGCAAGCCATTGCGCCCGGCCTCTTTTTGTTTTTAAGAACCCTGTGGTAAGAGCCTGGAATCCTAACCACTAGACCACCAGGGAGCTTTTTTATTCTTTTGAAGAATAAAAAAAGACTTTCATTTTTGTTTGCAAAAGTAATGCATGTTGGCCAGGTGCGGTGGCTCACGTTTGTAATCCCAGCACTTTGGGAGGCTGAGGCGGGTGGATCACCTGAGGTCAGGAGTTTGAGACCAGCTGACCAGCATGGTGAAACCCCATCTCTACTAAAAATACAAAAATTAGCCAGGCATGGTGGCAGGCACCTGTAATCCCAGCTACTCGGGAAGCTGAGGCGGGAGAATCACTTAAATCTGGGAGGCGGAGGTTACAGTGAGCCAACATCATAGCACTGTACTCCAGCCTGGGTGACAGAGCAAGACTCTGTCTCAAAAAAAAAAAAAATAATAATGCAAAATACAAATGTGTACAAAGTAAAAAGCCAGCCCCCCACCACCCAACCTCATTCACTGAACACCTAGCATCTGTGGGCTCTGTGTCCCCTGTCCTTCTCTGAGGATTCAGTGGGAAACAAGGTGGTTCCTGCCTGCATGGGACATGGGAGGGGCAGACAACCATCGAGTAGATACATAAAGTGATTTCAGAAAGCGAGAAGTGGAAGCAGTAACACAGAATCATTTTATGAACAGTGACAGGGTATCTCTTTGGACGAGGTGGTCAAGGGAGGAACAAAGATCTGAATGGTGAGAAGGAGGTTGTCAGGTTAAGATCAAGGAACAAGTACTCCAGGTGAGGAACTGGCAAGGAGAAGGGTGTGGAGCTTCAGCCTGCTTACTGAACAAGGGCAGCAGCCTTGGGGCAGGGAGAGAAGAGCTTCGCCACCCCCATCTTTCTTACTCCCCAGGGATTGCTGAGGTGACAGTTTTGGTTATGCTACAACACAGATTTCTAGGAGCACACAAACATGCATCTAATTTTCTTTCTTTCCTCTTTCTCTTCCTCCCTCCCTCTCTCCTTTCTTTCTCCCTCCCTCCCTCCCTCCCTCGCTCCCTTTCTCTCTTTCCCTCTTGCTTTTCTTGCTTTCCTCTCCCTCCCTCTCTGTCTCTTTCTCCCTTTCTTCCGTTTTTGAGACGGAGTTTCACTCTTGTTGCCCAGGCTGAAGTGCAATGGCGCCATCGCGGCTCGCTGCAACCTCCAGCTGCCGGGTTCCAGTGATTCTCCTGCCTTAGCCTCCCGAGTAGCTGGGATTACAGGTGCCTGCCACCATGCCCAGATAATTTATGTATTTTAGTAGAGACGGGATTTCATCATGTTGACCAGGCTGATCTTGAACTCCTGACCTCAGGTGATCCACCTGCCTCGACCTCCCAAAGTGCTGGGATTACAGACACGAGCCACTGCGCCCAGCCCATTTCTTTTTTTTCTTTTTTCTTTTTTTTTTTTTTTGAGACAGAGTCTCACTCTGTCACCCAGGCTGGAGTGCAGTGGTACAATCTAGGGTCACTGCAACCTCTGCCTTTCAGGTTCAAGCGATTCTCCTGCCTCAGCCTCCTGAGTAGCTGGGATTACAGGTGTGCGCCACTGTGCCTAGGTAATTTTTTGTATTTTTAGTAGAGACGAGGTTGCGCCATGTAGCCAGGCTGGTCTAGAACTTCTGACCTCAAGTGATCCACCCGCCTTGGCCTCCCAAAGTGCCAGGATTATAGGCATGAGCTACTGCGCCTGGCCTAATTGTCTTCCTTTCAACTCTTAAAAACAAAAAAACAAAACTTTCTCCTGTGTTCCAAGTTGGTCTGTTCACTGGGTTCAGGCCTGGGAAGAAACACGAAATGCAGAGTCGCAGACTTTGGCCCTGCAAGAGAGAGCCCGACTCACTTGGGGACTCACTTGCAAAACTGGTTTTGTGTTACAAGCATGAAGCACAAGTGGGGGTGGGAAGGGCGACTGGGAGACCAGAGGTTCAGCTGCATTTCACAGAATCCAAGAATGTCTGATACTGTCCAATTTTCAAGGTCACTGGAAACCTAACCCCTTAGGTTCTGGTCCCAGCTCTGCCGTCTGTCTGTGAGCTCTCCATTCAATTATTTTTCTCTCTGGGCTCAGTCTCCCAATATTCAAAATGTGAATTTTCACAAAGTGAACATACCCATGCAACCAGCACCCAGACCAAGAAAAAGAACAATTTCCAAAAACCCCCCACAGCCTGTCCACTCCCAGTCACTTACCACCCAAAAGGTAACTATCTTGACTTCCAATTGCATCGTTTTACTTGTTTTTGAACTGTATATAAACAGAATAATATAGCATGCACTCTTTTATGCCTTGCTGCTTTTGCTCAAAATTGTATTTGATACATTTATGTTGCTACGTGTAGTTGTGGTTAACTCATTTTCACACCTTTAATATTCCATTATATAAACAGACCACATTTTACTGTTGATGAACATTTGGGTTATCTCCAATTTTGTTTATTACATTTCTTTTTTCTTTTTTTTGGAGATGAATTCTCACTCTGTCACCCAGGTTGGAGTGCAGCGGCACCATCTTGTCTCACCGCAACCTCCCACCTCCTGGTTTCAAGCAATTCTCCTGCCTCAGTCTCTCAAGTAGCTGGGATTACAGGTGCCTGCCACCACGCCCGGATAATCTGTGTATTTTAGTAGAGATGGTATTTCATCATGTTGGCCAGGCTGGTCTTGAACTCCGGAGCTCAAGTGATCCGCCCACCTCAGCCTCCCAAAGTGCTGGGATTACAGGCGTGAGCCATCATGCCCAGCCTTATTACATATATTATAAAATGCTGCTATGAACACTGTTGAACATGTCTCTTGATGAACATAGGTGCTGTTGGGTAAATACCTAGGTGTGGAATCACAGGGTCATAAGGTATGCAAATGTTCAGCTTTAGTAGAGCCAGACATTTTTTTTGTTTGTTTGTTTGGAGACAGGATCTTCCTTTGTAGCCCAGGCCGGAGTGCAGGCCAAACATGGCTCACTGCAGCCTCCACCTCCTGGACTCAGGCAGTCCTCCTGCCTCAGCCTCCCAAGTAGCTGGGACCACAGATGTGTGTCAACATGCCCCGCTGATGTTATTTTTATTTTTATTTATTTTTTTGAGATGGAGTCTTGCTCTGTCGCCCAGGCTGGAGTGCAGTGGCCGGATCTCAGCTCACTGCAAGCTCCGCCTCCCGGGTTCACGCCATTCTCCTGCCTCAGCCTCCCGAGTAGCTGGGACTACAGGCGCCCGCCACCATGCCCGGCTAATTTTTTGTATTTTTAGTAGAGACGGGGTTTCACCGTGTTAGCCAGGATGGTCTCGATCTCCTGACCTCGTGATCCGCCCGTCTCGGCCTCCCAAAGTGCTGGGATTACAGGCTTGAGCCACTGCGCCCGGCCTTATTTTTATTTTTTAGTAGAGACGTGGTCTCACTATGTTGCCCAGGCTGGAGTGCAGTGGCATGATCTCAGCTAACTGCAACCTCTGCCTCCTGGGTTCAAGCAATTCTCCTGTCTCAACTTCCGGAGTAGCTGGGATTACAAGTGCGCACCACCCACCTGGCTATTTTTTTTGTGTGTGCGTTTTTAGTAGAGACAGGGTTTCACCATGTTGGCTAGGCTGGTCTCGAACTCCTGACCTCGTGATCCACCCACCTCGGCCTCCCAAAGTGCTGGGATTACAGGCATGAGCCACCACGCCCAGCCAGTATTAGGCATTTTTGTGGATATATTGTGGTATCTCATTGTGGTTTTAACTTGAATTTCTCCACTAATGAAGATAACACCTTTTCATATAGT